AAAACAGCAAATGGGAATTAAATGAATCGAGGATATAATCAACATGACATCATCAACAACTATTTCTTGATATTTATAATCACTAAAACTAAATATTTATCGAGCAAGCATGAAATTTTTTAAATAAAAATAAAAAAGAAAGGAACTGCCTTTGTTTTACCTTGGATTTCCACTCTTCGTTATCGGCACAGGTCGTGCAATGTTTGTAGGTACATCATGGTCAAGGGTTCGCGTGTTTGATTGTGATTTAGCGCGATTGTGATATGCGCGTGGCTTTGGGATGGCGTCCGTTCTGTTTATAATAAAAAGGAAAAAGTAAAGAAATTTATGTAAGAATATGAAAAATGTTCTCCCATTTGACCTGAATACGAAACAATGTTGAATCACGCAATACTTACTGTGCAACAGCAACAGTGACGGAACGATGATGGTTGACAGCTCTTCGAAATTTAATTTGATTGAGCTCGTCACCCTGTGTGATTTGATCGCCTGTATCAATCGATGAAGGAAGTTTTGTTGGCAATGTGTTAGCACCTGGCTGAATTCTTCTGATTAAAGATGAAATGTTTCGACCTTTCATCGTCTTGGAAATTGTTGATGAGCTTCCAGCTGCTGTTATGATATTTCCATTCTTATCATTTGTTCGCACGACATCTTTTGTTACATTTCCATTGGCATCGTCGAGTTTCATTGTATCAACTTTTTCAGAGATTCCTGTCACGGATCTCGACCGTTTCTTACTCGATTTCTCCTGAAGTTCACCAATAAGTTCGTCAACATTTTCTGTTGCTGTTTCATCATCTTCCGTGTCAACTCCATCAATCTCATCGTTCGTTTGTATCATTTTTGATTCAAGCAACTCTTCGTCCAAGCAACTTTTGTTCTTATGACTGTAAATTCCCAACTCATGAATTTTTAATGATTTTATTTTGTGATCACGTCGATAGGCTTCGCCTTGAATCCACATGGGAAGTTGTTTCTCTTCCATCCACTGTTGTTGATGTCCAATAACACTGCCTGGTCGACACAGTCGAATCCAAGCGATTGTCTCCATTGCTGTGAAGCGATAATGCTTCATGATATAAGCGCCAATTAAGGAGCCTGTTCGCCCAAGTCCAGCTTTACAATGCACTGCAATTGCACCATCCGTACGTTCACATATGTCAAGAAATTGATTTAGAATTGTGTCACTTGGCGTCGATCCATCACGAAAAATCAAATCGTAATGCTTGAAGCCGGCATCGATAAATGATGAAGCTTCATAAAATTTATAATTCAATCGAATGATTGTCGTGACATGATTTTGTTGGAAATACTCAAAATATTTGTCTGGTGCGTGATGTGTGTAGCCTTTATTGTCAGTTCCAGACATCATATGGGGACCACAGAATGCAATAAACTTATTCGGCACAATCCAATTGAGATCACCACTTTCGACAATCTCATAATGCTCATACTCGAGATAATTGAAATCGTCGAAGTTAAAGAAGCCAAAATGATGAGCTTTTTCTACTGCACGAAGGCAATCAAGGAGCGTTAATTTGTATTCACTAAGAACAGCCGATGCATCATTGTACTTGGCGTAAAGTTGAGTTTCATTGTTTGTGAGAAGTTTGTAGACTTCGTCGGCTGTTTTGTCCAGGTAAATAATAGCGTAGGAGCCGATTGCGTAGGCGCTGTTCACTCGCTTCTCCTTCTCCATCCAAGTGTATTGAATCACGAGACGATTGTTTGCTTTGCGTGCCGCCTCCAATTCAAGATTGAGATATTTGCAGTAGTGATATAAGTTACAAATATTGTATGGACCAAAATCGTTATAGAATCCTAAAAAAAATAAAGATTATGTCATTAAAGAACTGAATGTGAGATCAGAGAACTCTTCTCGTCTTTTGTCTTCTTTTACCTTCATAATGAAGAAAATTATCCACTCTTATGTACGTTCTGTGTTTGTTTGAAATTGGTTTCAAATCTTTCTTGAATGTTACAAATACCAATTGACCTTAAAAAGACATAAAGCATAATTATGTTAACATCTGGATGTTGATTATTATTATTTATTTTAATTTCTAATTTATATTTATAAGCAGTGTTAAAGGAAATCTTATAAGAATGTCCAAAGAACCATGGACACCATTTGACTTACCTGGCACAATCTCAATATAATTAAGCATATGCTTATTGGATTCCATTACAAATTTTCTCTTGTTCATCGTCATCGTTAAAATTCCGGAAGTGCTTATTGATTCTACCACTCATTTAGATGCGATAAGAACTAAAACGAAATTTCAATGAAGAAAAACTTGCATTTCATTATTTTTTTCCTTCAACTTTTTTTTTGATGCTATTGAATGTGAAAATTTTTATTAGTTTCTCTTGTTGATGTTGCGCAAACTGAAGAATTCTTCTTCGTTTTATTTTTTTCATTTGCGAGAAACTAATCTTTAAGTTGTGGGTAGTAATTACGTGTCTTGTAAGAACAGAGGCGATTTTAATAAATTACCTTTTGCTTTACAATGCAGTGCTTCAAGAATTTTAGTGTTAATCAATCTTCTGGTTTGTTGTTGTTCTTGATTATTTTTGTACTGTAAAAATATTTGCTTCGTTTTCAATAGTTTTCCAACTCAAATGCCGTACTTTTCGACTTTTCTTATAATACACAATTAAAATGAGGAAGCATTTGCTTAAAAATCAACTCTACGTGGGTGTTAAGCCACATATCGACAAGCTTTAGCTTCAGAACGAATTATTTATTTTCTTTTTCAAAACTGAATAACCCGACAAGCATTTCGTTTAAAGTTATCCGAAAAACCGTTAAATATGAAGACGAGGGGAATTTAAAGCAGTTGCATTTGTTGCATAAAATGTTTTTTTATTCAAAAATCACCCTTGCGACATTTCAAGTTCAATGATATTTTTCCTATCACCATTGCTATTGCTACACAAAGAACCTAAACATGTTTTTATTGATTAATCTCATTATAAATTGTCATCACATATGTTTTCAATTATTTTTTCGACTTACTAAACACTTCTTGAAAACGACCTTTGGATGTCTTCAAGCTTTTAGAAACAACATAGAGTGTGGTAAGAGATAATGAAATTAAAATTCCATTATTAATATTAGAATTACTTTCTTCTGTAAATGTTTGATTGATTCCTAATAAAATGGTAACGACTCCCAAAATATAAACAATACAACTTGCAAAACCATGAACTGCTTTTAACATGTTTGGTTTGATGATATTTCTAAGGTTGTAGCTGAACTTAGTGAAAGTTCCACCAAGGGATGCAATGATTGTCGTTAAATAAGTAACTAAACCGAAAAGACTGTGCGTTGTCTGATAATGCGGATATTCATTATTCTCTTTGTTAATATAAATTGCTGACTGTGCAATAGTAATGAGAATTAATCCGACAGCTTGGAACATCCAATGATAAGTAACGCGTTTCTGATATGTACATCCATCTGTGAAGATATTTCTATCAGCCATTGTCAATATGCCGTCAGTCATCAAAAGCAAGTACTGCAATAAAAATAAAATCGAAATAAAATTTTTGATAAATGTTTTATATCCCTTCAGGAATTAAAACTTACTCCTATTGACATAAATACTGGATGCCACGTATAGAGAATGATTCCAACTTCACTAACAGTCTTGAATATTATTAAACCGGCGATAGCAGCTAAAGTGAAATGTACCAAGGCATTGACAGCTTTCGACGTGCCAGTCGTTAAACCAGATTGATTTTTTGTTGTTACTTTTTCTTTAGATGACGAGGCTTTAAATCATTTGGACAAAAAAAAGTGCCAAGGTCATAAAATTTTAAAACATTAAATAAGAACTTTGTTTTTACCTTTTCCTTGATTCATTTTCTTCTCTTTTTTTAGTTTATTGTTTTTCACAATTTGATATTTCAATTGATATTTACTGACTTTGAAATTAAATTATAATGCACGATGATATAAACTTGCGTGTTAACTCAAAGAGATACAGAAAATAACAAAAAAACATTTTAATTAGCTGGAACTAAAATCCACAACTGAAATATCTCAAGATATTCATGTGTAGATGAGCGGCAACTTAATGAATGTAGTTGTGTTGTATTTATTAGAAAACTTTTTATTTTGGTAATAACATACATGAGCATGTGTTGTCAGACTTAATGTAATCTTATCTCTTAAAGTATGATTATTTTTTATTCTTCTTTTCATAGCTACATTATGTTCATAAAAATGTTTAATAAAAACAAGACCTTTTTATATATTTTAAAATATTGGATTCATACATACATATATTACCTAATTAAATTTTGCTTGCTTTAGCTAAAGCCTTCAACTTCACTCATTTCACTAGGTAGGTTCTAAAGTTTGGAAGAATTCGCTTTCTTACGACCCACAAATGTAATGCATAGATGCGTTCGGTCGCGATTAGAGGAAGCTAATACTAACTGCAAAATATGCCATATCAAGAGTACATTTTTCACCCTAGTATATAAATCATAAAAGCACAATTCAAACAGGAAACATCGAATTTTTTTTAGTAAATCGAATCTTAAATAAATTATGAGCGAATATTGTCGAAAATTTTCGTCAACAGAAATGTGGAAACAAAATTATTGACAATTATACAAGAACTTTTGTTTAAATATAATTTTACTCACCTAATCAAATAAGTCAGCTTCATATGTATTCATTTGCGAAATGGAATGTTCCAACTGTTGCCTCCATCTGTTGCATTTAATAACTCACCAGATAATGATTTTGAATTTTAATTATTTTCCTTGATTTTAATAAATCGAAAATAAAAATTTCTTGGATAATGTTAAGAAATATGGATGTGGATGTTTTCATTTTAAAAATAATGGATGTTATTATTTTAATTAAAAACATGAAGTGAGTCCCGTTGCATGAAGAGTGAGTCCCCAGCCTATTCATATAGAAAAATTATAAAAGGTTAATATGATGGACACAAACATTATAGCAGAGAATAACTGGAAACCTGGTTAGAACCATCATCGACCTTTTCAAGGGCAGCAAGCTCAGGCATTCTTTAAGTTTCAAATTTATACCCCTTGTGAAAATTTAGGGGAAAATTAACAACTTTCTCCTTAATTTTGAACTCCTTGAAATTTTGACGAAAGCGATCAGTTGCAAAACTACTTTCAAAAGAAAAAGAAGAAAATTTATTACATTGAATTTGATTGAAATTTATTCATAACTAAAAAACTTAATTTTTTTATTTAAACAATCGAAATGTTTAAGAAATTTTTTGGTTGTTGTTCACAAAAAAAGAAAGAACCAGCAGTAAGATTGAAATCAATTCGATATTTCGGAGAATTTCATGAAACTGACGTGAAATCAAGAAAATCCGCCATTGTTGTTGGATTCGAAGAAAACGTAAAGGAATTCGGCGTAGAAGGAGAAGAGTCATTCACAAAGTTGCATGATGAAAAGGACAAAGAATCTGACCAGAATTTAATTTGTTTATCTGAAGAAACAAATAGAATCAGACCAAAGCGTCCTCAAATCATGAAATCTTGCAATAAATCCTATAAAAACATTCCGAACATTGCCGAAGCTGACGCTTCTGTACAAAACTTGAATGATGAAGAAGTTGATACTGATAATAATGAAGCTAATAGCAAAGAACTTAATAATATTCATCATAAACCCGATGAATTAAATGAAAATGCCGATAACTTGACAAATTTAGATTCCATGAATAAGTCGAATATTGAATTTCAGCCTGAGATTGTCATTGAAAATTTAATCTTTAAAAATGATGAAATAACCTCCAAATCTTTACCAATGGATGATTTAATTCAAGAAGAAACTAACGCTTGTGCTATTGAAATTGTAAAGGAAAATAATGAAACAAAATCCAAATCTACACAATTAGGAGGAAGCGATTCAAGCCTATTTTATACAAGTTTTGTTTCAAAAAATTATATTGAGGCTTCTAAAATATTTAATATCGAATTCAACTGTAAATCAACACAAGTCGATGAAATTGACTTTAACACAATTAAAATTGAAGCAGAAGTTCATGCTGCTTCCACTCCTGTATCAGATTGCATATGGAATCGAAGTTGGTGGTCTTCGTCGGAATTTAAAAATTTTTCTCAGGACTCATTAGATTCGTCAATTGACTCGCTTGATAATCCATTTATGGAAGAATATGACGATAACGAAAATATCGTTTTAAATGATTTGAAACAAGAAGAAGAAGATGAAGAAGCAACAACATATGAAAATCATTTCTATGATAATCCAACAAATGCAGAATGCATGAAAACAGAATTTGCAATTGTAAATGAAGTTCACAAACCACGAATTGTGAAATATCACAAAAAATCTTATGAGGCAACATCATATCCATTGTATCTTGATAGCAATTTTATTGAAGATGATGATTTTGATATTCAGGGTGAGTACAACATTTTAAATAACTAATTTTTCTACCTACCTAGGAAAGTTATCATTAAGCAACATTAACGAATATTATTTTGAAATTGTGAAACTTAAAGCGTTGCTTTGATTCAAACTTTTTGAACCGCTACTTGCACTGAATGAGCCTAAATTTGAACCTTTTCTTTCATGTCTTCTCCTCACAATCCTTTTGTTCCGCCCATTTCGCGCCTTATTTTTTTCAATTGTGCAAATTTTAATCATATTTACTTATTTTCATTCATTAAATTCATTATCTTAATAAAAATATAAGACAAAAGAAAAACACAAATACGTGACATCATTCGTTTTATTTCCCTACATTGTTTCTCGCATTAGTGTGCGTGGAAAGAAAATTCTCATCGAAAAAGCAAAGAAAAAAAATTTAAATGAAATTTTTGAAAAATGACTGAAAATCAGAGTGTAAACGTAGAAATGAAACCACCAAACATATCGTCCGTAGATTCGGGAGCCACACGACATGGTCAACATAAAGCAGCAGCAATGGAAGTGACAAAACCTTTGGTGAAAAGTAAAACGTCCATGAGAGAACAATCAATAAAACAATACAAGCTGCTTAAGACGATTGGAAAAGGTAACTTCGCAAGGGTGATGCTTGCTCGACACATGCCCACCGGTAGTGAAGTTGCTATTAAGATCATCGACAAGACACAGCTTAACACAAATTCTCTCGAAAAACTCTTTCGTGAGGTTTCCATTATGAAACTACTGAACCACCCGAACATTGTCAAACTTTATGAAGTAATTGAAACAGAAAAAACGCTCTATTTGGTCATGGAGTACATTAATAACGGTGAAGTGTTCGAATATCTTGTGAAGAATGGTAGAATGAAGGAGAATATTGCACGACAAAAGTTCCGACAAATTGTGTCCGCTGTTCAATATCTTCACAGCAAGAACATTATTCATCGTGATCTTAAAGCTGAAAATCTTCTTCTCGATAGTAATTTAGATGTGAAGATAGTAGATTTTGGATTCTCCAACATGTTTGTTGAGGGTAAGTCCAATGTTCATTCATTTCTATGGATTCATTTATCAATATTTAATTTTTGCACAATTTTTATGAACAGGAAATAAAATGGACACATATTGTGGTAGTCCACCGTATGCCGCACCCGAACTGTTTCAAGGGAAGAAATATGACGGTCCTGAAGTTGATGGTAAGACGTCACCACCTTCACTTAACACAATTTGCATAACTCAAAGTGTTTCTTTTTTTCTTTTTCTTTCTCTTTTCTTTATTTTTATTTACAGTTTGGTCGTTAGGCGTTATTCTTTATACCCTCGTGAGTGGCTCACTGCCTTTTGATGGCACAACACTTCGTGAGCTTCGTGAACGTGTTATTCGCGGAAAATATAGAATTCCATTCTACTGTAAGTTTCTTTCGTTTTTTTTTCTATGACACAAATATGACAAAAATAATATTTTATTATCTCTTCTAGTGTCGACTGACTGTGAGGCTCTCTTGAAGAAATTTCTTGCTCTCAATCCAACAAAACGATACACACTTGAGCAAATCATGAAAGATAAATGGATGAATCAAAATGAGGAAGAATTAAAGCCATATGCAGAGCCAAATGTAGAGCTTAACGATCCGAAGATTGTCGATGCACTTCTCCATTTAAATTTTAAGATGAATGATATTGAACAATCGCTGACGAAACGAAGATTTGATGAGATTTATGCAGCATATTTGTTAATTCAGAATGGAAATCGAAAGTTAAGTCGATCAAAGCCAGAGAGCTTAACAAGTATAGCAAGTAATTCAGCAACTGTGCTGCCATCAACTTCATCGCCTTCAGGATCAAAATTGAAGAATGAAACGACCACGAATGGCGACGGACTCAAAGAGACGTCATTCATGAATAACAAGGTTGAAGATGTGAAAACTGCCAAACACAACGACCCGCCTTCACCGGAAATCGCACCGAATAACTTCAAACGACAACATACAATTGGTCCTGAATCTCTAAAAGAGCGAAATGCTGCTATTCGTTTGCATACAGCATCTGGCGCTTCTAGACCGATTTCAGCAACACCCAAAGTGACTGCTGAACGGGGACTTCAAAAGAGTCCACAAAAGCCTTTGCGCGCATTTAAACCTGAAACTTCATTGAGCACAACAGCTCAAACGCCTCGGCGTCCAAATGTCAATGTGTACAAAAAGGTTGAAACGACAACAGCAAATACAAAGGATACTCCGTTAGTGACACGTCTGAATACTGCTCAGGCTGCTCAAAGCTCATCAAGTGCAGCATTCTCTCGTAATGGACCGTCACGTTATACATTTCATTCCGGGCAATCGCGTTTACAACCGCGAGACCATAGCCCGCTTGAGTCTAAAGCTGAACCGCCACCATTTGGTGCCAAAGGCAACTTCCTACAACGATTGACCACGAGATTCTCAAAGCGATTTCGCTTATCGCAAGCTAAAGCAACCACCGAAAGCAGCAACAGCAGTAAGAACTGAACATGTACTTTAGTGTCGGAAAAGTATAATATCAGAATATCAGCAAATGGGCGAGACATGTAAAAGAACACAAAAACATTTTTCATAATTACGAAAGAAAGAGAGATGAGAAAGATTTGAAAGGAAATTTGAGGGACATTTCTTTTCTAGACATATATTTCACGCATAAACAAGCAAAAAACAACTCTTCATTAAATAATTTTCACTAATTTAATATTTGTTTTAGAGTTATAGAGCCATTTAAATAAAAAAAAGATCCTTCTGATATAAGAAAACAACAAAAAAAAAACATGTATAGAAGCATTAAAAAGGAATTTTAAATTAAAAAATTGTTTGAAAATCCAAATTTTTATTTTATTTCCATGGAAAGACATAAAACATTTCATATGAATCATTTAGCATTGTTTATTTTTAATCTTTTTGAACTCTGATCGATGATAACAGAATTTAAAGATTTTATTATTTAAGTAAAATTGACTTGAATTTTTCAACGGCTGATTTTTTAAATTCAAAGCGTTGCTTTCTAACATTTTATAAGAGAAAATTTCTAAACGCATTCATTATTTTTATTTTTCAAACCTTCAGGTTTCAAATAATTATTTAGTGCTTAACTAATAATCTTATTAAAAAATGGTAAGCAAAATATAAAGAAAACTGAATAATTCTAAATTTAAATATAAAAGTGATTGTAAAAATCAAGTGGAAGTCAATAATTTCTAAATTTTTTCAATGTAAAAGCCGCCACGTTTTTCAGTGTTTATAAAATTTACTTTTTATTTCGGCAGAAACCTTTAATGTTACAAGGCCACGAGCGTTCGATAACGCAGATCAAATATAACAGAGAAGGAGATTTACTTTTCTCATGTTCAAAGGATAACAAGCCAAACGTTTGGTTCTCAGTAAATGGAGAACGTCTGGGAACTTATAATGGACATCAAGGAGCAGTTTGGTGTCTAGATGTTGATTGGACTTCAACTAAGTTCATGAGCGGTGGAGGTGACATGACTCTCAGGTAAGATAAATGTTAAAAATTTGTTAAAAGTGCAAAATTAATCAAGATTTAATATTTCAGACTTTGGGATGTAGAAACTGGAACAGAAGAGTCAAAAATCGATACTCGCTCATCAGTTCGTACCTGTAACTTCAGCTTCTCAGGTAATCTCGCAGCATATTCTACCGACAAAGCAATGAATCAAGAGTGTGAACTTTTCATCAATGACGTTCGTACAATGGATAAATCAAACTCGTCTTCAACTCCAATTCTAAGATTGCCGATGGATCACTCAAAAATCACATCAATGTTGTGGTTCATGGATGAAACAGTCATCACAGGACATCAAACAGGATTAATTGCATCTTACGATTTAAGAGTAAGTAAATGAGTATGAAAATTGAATTAAATTTAATTGAAATTATTTTCTAGATGGGAAAAGAAATAAATTCTGTTAAAGATCACACAGACATCATTCAGGATATGCAATTGACTCGCGATGGAACAATGTTTGTGACAGCTTCGAAAGATTCAACAGCAAAGTTATTTGATTCAGATACTCTGACATGTTTGAAGACTTACAAAACTGAACGTCCGGTGAATTCTGCTGCAGTTAGTCCAATTTTCGATCATGTTGTTCTCGGTGGTGGCCAAGAAGCTATGGACGTGACAACAACATCAACACGCTCTGGAAAATTCGATTCACGTTTCTTCCATCTCATCTATGAAGAAGAATTTGCAAGACTTAAAGGTCATTTCGGTCCTATCAACAGTTTGGCATTCCATCCCGATGGCAAAAGTTACGCTAGTGGAGGTGAAGATGGCTTCGTACGCGTGCAGGTTTTCGATCAAAGCTATTATGATTTGGTATTTGAATAAATTTATGTATCTCTGTATTAACGTGGAAAAAGAAGAAACGATTTAAATATAAAATGAAAATTAAGTTGCAATCGAGATCCGAAATCATTTGGTCGATGTTTGCAATGAAAAAAATGTTTGAAGCTTTTATACAAACAAATTTATATCGAGGCTTTTTTATTTCAGTTTCTTTTTGTTATGAAGTCACTTGTTACGTCGGTCGAATGGAAATTCGTCTACTTTTGTGTAGGAGTTATGGAAAATATGATTTTGATAGACAATCCATTCACAATTTTCTAAGGATATCTATTTAAAGCTGACATGCTTATGAACAAGCCATCTATAGATGAAATAAGCTTCACTTCACTTGACAAATTCTCATTCAAAGTCAATATTCGTGAAGCATCATTGAAATTAATTATGTTCGAGTTGTAGTAAGTAAATTTTCTTTGCAAGTTATTCAATTTCGTTTACATTATATGAGTGTAATTGTTACTTGCTGCATTGTCCTCAATCTACTCTTGTTGACATGAATATCACTTCAATATGAATGAAATGATTCGAGAGAGTTTATTACTTTCCTCTAGAGAAAAAAAATAATTAAGAAATGCTTTTCCGATACTGTTTCGAGTAAATATTGTTGCTTATTTTCATAATAGACAAACAAATAAATTATAAATAGAAATAAATGTAAAAGAAGTCGTCACAGTGGAAAATGATGTGATGAAAGTTGACAGTTTTGCATTGAATTATTCATTAATAATGTTACAAAAAAGACAAATTGAATAAAAGGAAAATGCAGTAATTTCAATAATTTGCTTTCACATTGATTTAACAAACCGCAAAGCTAGTTTGTCGTAAACAACCATTATGGAAACATTGAGTGGAATTTTATCACAATATAGACGAAAACTTATAAATCAGAATATTTAAGTGAGTATTATGGCTTCCCACTTGATACTTATTTAGTTAATGAAGAAATATATCTCGCTTAAGCTTTTCCCTTGTTGATTGAATTATCGATTTGTTTTCATAAGATTAAAACACCACAATGTATGAATATTTATACTCAATATACATTTTAATCAACACTTTTGATGTTGTTAAATGAAAATCCTAGTCACGTAGTTATCTTATCGAAAGAATAACATGAACCACTTATTTTTCCAATTGACGTCAGAAAATGTGTTTTTAGAGCTTTTTGTCAACAATTTTCAGTTTTTTCAACCGTAAATTAATCGGAATTATTAAACGATTGAGTGAAAATCTGTTTTGATACATTAATCGTTAATTAAGTTTTTGGAATGCTGATGAATTCCATAAAATCCTTTCATGATTAGAAAATTGTTTATCCAAATAATTTATTTAACAACGTGAAATGTTCAAATATGTCACGTTTTATGGTAATTTTGTTAAAAAATATTACCATTCAAAAGGTTTTGGGATTTCAACAACATAAATCTAAACATGATTCAATTTTAACATCAAATCTCGTCTTTATAAATTGTTTTGAACGTTTAAATATTCCCATATGTTGAATGATTTAGATGAAAACATAACAATGATGTAGAGATAAATTATTCAGATGAAAATTTACAGTTTTTCTTAACAATTTCTTACAATTGTTTGGGTAAATAAAGTTTAGTAAATTTAAGGCGAATATAAGTAGAAGCGTTTCAACCTTGGCGACGAAATGTCTTGAGTTTTAAAAGATTCCTCAAAAGCCATTACAGTGACAGTACATTAAACTCCTAGGGGAAATTATCAAACATTGACTAGCTGCACGATTGATCAATGATATCTACCATGAATGAAATCCCAAACAAGCAACAAGAATGAAATTTTATCTTCACTTTGTACACAACGCTTTTTGGTAATTTCTCACTCGAAAATGTGCGTGGGTGTTTTAGATGTATTTCTTCTCATTACATTATGAACAAACATTTGATCCTAATGTCCTATAGAGATTATTTTTGCTATAAATTACAGAAATTAAAGTAGAAATATGATTTTCAGATTTATTTCTCGAATAAATTTCAATTCTCTTCATTTAACTTCACTAAGAAGAAAGACGGCAATTCTGTCTGCGTATTCTGCACTTTATTCCATTCATTTTATGTTTTTCTAAAGCCTTTTCAATACGTGCAGACGTAAATAACAACAATTGATTCGTCTTTTACGTTTCAATTGTCGATTAAATTCTCATCACCATTGAAAGTGTGACTAAGTAACATATTGCAGCAACATTAAAGAAAGAAATTTCTACAATCATCAAATACTTTGTGCTTTTAAATGATTTTGAATATGTTTGAGCATGAATAAATAGAAGAAAGCAAAAAGAAATAATTTAAGTGCCAATCTTCGGTTTTCTATGAAAATATTTTCTCAAATTAGATCTCCAAGAATTAATCAATTTTTATGCCTTGCATATTAATAAATTTCCAAGAACTTCCTTTTCAATATTTTGATTGACATTTATTAAATATTGTGTAGAAGTTTCTATTGAAGTAGACATATTTTTAGTCTCAAACACAGGAAACACATTACAACAACAGGATTCAGGAACAACAAACTTTTATTTTTCAATCTTGCTAAAATAAAAAATTCATAACTTTGACACCTCTCAGAAAAACTTTCATTTCATTTTTGATGCCATTAAAGAATCAAAATCTGATTGAGATTGACACTTCAGGTGAAGCTCTGTCAAATATTTATACAAGTTGTTCGGTAAGAGGTTGACAAACTTAAACTTTATGAAGCCTTTTCGTTTACTAGCGTACAAAATTAAATTGCTTCTTTACTGCATTACCTCATCGTAAACCTACATAAATAAAACAAAGACAAACCTGAAATATTATCCTTTTAGCTGTTCTTCGCTGTAGAGGGTTTGTTTTGGCTTTAGTAGAATTAAGAGAAATGACACAAAGATCCTTGTTAAAAAATGAGAAGCAGAGCACGTCTACTTATCTTTATGGAAACCTTTAAAACTTTTCAACCAAGAAGATTCTCCTAAATGATATGATTTTCTTCTTACTCAACTTGAGTCTAAGCATTCTTCAAATTCATGTAGAAATTAATTCAAATGGACATTTTATTATAAAACATAATTTTTCATTATGAAAGAGACAAATTTTCTTTTTAAATTAATTGTTATTACAACAGTCTGGATTCCGGTTGAGAGCGATGGCACAATAGATAATTTTAATTAAATTTTAATACATTTGCTACTATTGTACACTAACTGAGCATTCGTTAGGCTATTAAGCTTTCTTTATTACTTCACATTGTTGTGGGATTTTCTAAAGAACCTCTGAACAAAAGCAACATTTTCCACAACTGCATTATTCTATTATATCAGGAAGCTGTTTTCACTTGGTTGTTTCACTATGACTTCATTGTTCTGATGACCTTAAAAAACTTTCTCATTTTCATTTCTTCTGCTAATGGAAATGGAAAACAAACTCAATTTCGAATTTTATTTTTACTATTTATTTTCAAGGCTCATACAATGACGAAACATTTTCTTCACGTTTTTCATTTGTTTCTTTCATTTCCTTTTCTTTTCATTTTTTATTTGTTGAAAACGTTTTTTCACTTTGCAAGTTCTTTTGCTAATTAAATTCCAAAAGCAATTTATCTAAAATTAAATGAAAACTTATGAATGTCATTTTGCTGCTTCATTCTGTTTATCTCTTCAGATTCAAAGATGTTATCAAGGAATGTTTACAACATCATTTTGTTTATAAATATTTTAATATCTTTAAGAGGTATCAAGTTGAATGTCACTTTAAAAAATAAGCTTCAGAAAGGAGGGAAACGGAAATATTTAAAATGAGAAAATCAATGATTCGTGTCGTTGAATTTAAGGTGAAGCTTATGGTAAGAAAATATTTGCACCCCACATCAACCTAGAAAAAGAGATTAAATACCATCGATGTGTCAGGTACAATGACAAATTCTTACGACTGAAATGAATACAACAAAAAACAATTTAAGAAAAATCTTGTTTCTAAAGAATTTAAATTGTTTCATCAACCTCAATACTTGTTTAATACAAGAAGATTAAATGGAGATTATAAAGGTCTTAAGATATAAAAATAGAAGGTGAAGTTTTCTATTCTTTGTTTAGCTTACCACATTTATTAAGTCAATTAAGATGAAAATATTGGAGACAATGACACCCTCGTTAATTAAGTATCTGACAAAAAATATAAATTAAAATTTCCTGATTGCTTCCGTCTATCAACTTCTTGATTTAATTGTTTCCATGTCGATTATTAAAATAAATAAATGAATGAAGATTTGACTTCCATATGCCATGTGCTTGGTGAGAGAAAACTGGAAAATTTCTCTCACAATTTTCCTCTCTCGTTGAGGTAACAAGTTGTTAACTTCCACAATTTTCATTCAACAGTTCTTTCCTTTTGAGTTTTCTCGTCCACAATCAACATCGATACGCCAAAGAGCGAAGACGTGAAAGTTTTGTGGTCGCGAAAATAGAAAAACTTTTCTTCTTTCTCTTCATCAAATTTATGTTAGAAAAAAAGAAAAATCATTTCTGAAAATATAGAAAAGACGTTTTGAAGTGATTCCAGTGAACAATTCTCTCGTGTCAGAGTTTTGTTCTTATTCAGTTGATTTGATTTATTAAAAGTAGCATCGACATGCGTTACTTTGTGGTTTTGTCACTCTTTTGTCTCATTCTTGTCACCATTAAGGCAAATTCATATTTGGATAGTGATTTATTGAACGGTAAGTAATTCATTAAAACATCAAAGTGACATCAAATTAAAAAGAAGTTTCAAAGTTTGACCATATGGAAAATATTTTTCTAAACAATTTTTGTTAGACTATCAACAATTGTGTGGATTTCAATCTTAATCTCACTTTCTAATTAAATTCCCTCGCTTAAAGACACGAGTCGTGTTTAGACTTTCCTGAGAATTGAACTCAAGATAAAATTGAATTATTTTGCGGTCATTCTGCCGAAGGGACTTTCTATAGTAAACAATCTTATCAACATTGCAGTATTAAAGAGCGCCTTTAAATAAATATCTGGATTGTGTTCTGTGAATAAAAGTTATGAAAGATGTCCCAGCATGATATGAAATAACATTTAGTTGAATAGAAAAAACAAACTTGAATGGTTCACCATCATTTTCATTTATATTTTGATAAAATTATTTTTGTTTGACTCATTTTATGTGGGATTCAACTTTTTAATGAAATTTTTTTGAAATATCGCCATTAAAATTTTTAGGCTTCCGTTTTCATTTAAATTTTTTTAATAAATAATGAAATGCATAAAAGTTAATGAAAAATGATTGTAAGATTTCTATGTTAATTAACTATCAACGATGTTGATCATAATTTATTAAGAGCTTTCTTTAAAAAGAATTTTTTCTATTTTTCAAGCTTCATTTTGTCGTCTTAGATTTTCAAAATTAGCTAAACATGTTGCAAAGTCATTAAATAAGTCATAAAATAAACATTTCAAAATTCTTTGCCATTAAATCTTAATTCTACCAAATCATAAAATAAATTAAGGATATGAAATGCTTTCACTTTTTTGCTTTTGTATCGGATTTAAAAATTACTTATTCGATGTGATGATGTCAACAAAAAAGGAAAAAAGATGATTGATGGTGAAATGATAAAAAAAACCCCCGAAAAGACGTCATTAAATACTTTGAAGATGATTTTAGGTCATCGGATAACATTTTCCATCAAAGGAATTTACTTTGTCATGTTTTACTGTAGGCTGTGATTTGTACATAAATCCCTAGAAGTTCCAAATAAGTATAAAAAGACGTATTTTATCATTAGAAACGGTTTCGGTGACCCTCTTAATTCATAAGAGTTAAGTTACTCTAAAAGCGTTTGAACTCTCTTCGGAAAGTTGATAATCGAAAAATTTTCATTGAAAAACGAGAAGAGAAATGACAGAATGTGTAAGAAGCATTCAGATTAAAAACACTCATTCCTTTAAGGAATCGAATTTAAACCTCAATTCCCTTACGACAACAATATCCAATCTTTAAAAAAATATTTGTTATAATGTAATCTGATTCAATGCAAGCTCCTCAATTTCTCTCCACAACTTTAAATCTTTAATGTTGATCGAATGTCATAGAAATTAAATTGAAACGTAAACTCTTTTGATACATTTTTGCTTACATTTCGCTGACATTTCCTAAGCTTTGAAGAAAACTAAAAAAAATTTCCAAGTGGAATGAAACTTTGTTGCCAATAAAAAGTTTGGAAATTTAAATTAAAATTGTGGAGATTAAAGGAAACCTGACTTCCTCTGGTAAAGGAAATGAAAGTTTCATTCCGTCATCGCAACAGTTAAAACATATTTATTATTTATCAGCGTGTTTTTCTCTCATTAATCAATCGACATCCAAACTGAACCTTGACGAAAACAATTTCTTTAAGATAACAAAATCGTTTACTTCCAAAGGTAACGAAAACAATTCCAGGAAAAATTTCATTTCAAAATTGTGATTCGAAAACTTTTCTCATTTATTTTGTTTACCGCTCATGACTCATAACAGAGCTTTTGATAAACTTAAATGGATGAATATCTGAATGAATGAAAAGGATTAATATTAAATTTGTTTGAATTGCGATTTTACAGAATTTTATCATTTGAGAGTAGTTTGCTTTTGTAATTAAAGGATAAAAGCTCAAAATTTCAAAGTTAAGTGATTCAAGTTAAATTTCCACCCACGCAATCGAGAATTCAGTGTTCGAAAATATAGAAGTTTATTATAGAAGAAATATGAGAAAGATTGACGCTTTTAATGCATCTATGGTTATGAAACTCAAACAAACTGCAATAATAAAGTTGTTCAAATGCTCAACTTATGCTTCAAGGCGTTCATTGCATTATGTTTTGTGGGAAACTAATGATGTGGAAAATCTAGTTTCAGACTGCATGAGAAACTAAGAATAAAGAAAATAAGAATCTCCTTAAGCAATTCGATGTTATTGTATCAAAACTAATTTTACATAATTAATTTTTGTTCTTTCTTCACAGACGATGAGTTAAATTACCCCGCACCTGACAACTACTTGGACGACCTGCAGGCGCCTGCAGAAAAGTGAGTCTTGGTTGTTAACATTTGCTTGGCTATTCCCATGTAATTTTCATCACAAATTTGTGTTATCAAATGAAATTTTGTGTCATTTCTCTAGCTCAAATTCGATAACTTTGTGTAAACGCAAACACTGCGAAACATGAAAATTTATTATATTTTCTAATTTTTGTTAGACGGTCTTCCCTCATTACTGTTTTTAGGCGTGCTTGCATCAGACGGTCAGGAAACTGCGATCATCGGCCAAACGGATGTTGCTACAACTCATCATGTCGCTGCAATCTCTGGGGCTCCAACTGTCGATGTCAGCGAATGGGATTGTTCCAAAAATGGGGAAAATAAACTCAACTTGTTGATTGTCCCCGTCATGATTCCATTCGAGTGGAAGATTTTAAACGTTTTGTTGAACTTTATTCATTTCCCACTTCAATCATCAACGACTTGATAATTTTCTTAATTTAAATCACTTCACGTCTTGAGTTCCTTCTTAAAGAAGCTTAAAATTGATGAAACGATTCAGTTTAAGATCTTTTTATTAATTTTTCCCAATGGAAAACGGTTCTTGACCAAAACGCCTAAACGTACCAAGGATTATGAGAGGCAGCTAAAACAAAAAACTTAAGCTTACGATGATGTTAAAAATTTCAACTCATTTCGACGATCCTTCTTGAAATTTTCTTCTTTTTATCAGTTTTTCTTTTCGGAAAATCTTCAATTTAAAAGAAAAATTTAATACAAACACGAATGGATAATTTTGAATGTTTTTCAATCTTAAAATGTGAACACAAAATGAAAGCTCGATAGCGACATTGTAAATGACTAAAAGCTCGATGGGGAATCTTGTTGACAAAAGTCACATCCAGCCACAACTTTTGTCGATGAAATNNAATGGATCAATATTCAATATTCATCATATAAAATTAATGTTCAATGTTGAAGGTGTTAAATAACTTTATAAAGTATTCTACATGGAAAATACTTTACATTAACAAACATCAAATAACTGAATTAATTTGTAAGGAAATATTAAAAAATATTTAATTAAGATTGCAGAAATATTTAATAACCTTTCTCGCTATTGAAGTGAAGTCTTTTTTGAAGTAATTGAGTAACCTGGAAATATTTTACTCCTAACAAAACTAAAGCTTGAGATTTTTAATCTCCTACGCATTTATTTTCATAAAAACTATTAAATACCAATTTATTATGAGCCAAATAACGTAGAATGTAGAAAGAGGATTCAAAAAATATTTTATGACAATTATAAGCTGCATTCATATGTAGGACGGTGATAAAAATCATTCGTGAAACTCTAATAGTTTATTGCAGCTTTGTATGATATACCAAGCTTATCTCTAATAAATAAATAAATAACGAGCGAACAAAAGGATGCGAGTTAATAAATATTTTTCATGGAAGCTAAGTTACCACGAACTATTTTCATCTGTGCAATGTGGGTAAAAACAGAAGAAAAAAACAATAAATTTAATTACAAAAACCAGTTTTGTGTGTGTGTATCAGCATTAAGAGATTTTTATTTTGAAATATTTACTGTTTTAAGTTTCAGATCATCGAAAGCTTCGATTCATTTCAGATGTCACGACATTAATTGGCGATAAATTAAATTTAAAGAGAAAATTTTGCTTTGCTGTCGTTTTTATTGCTTTAAATTGATAATTTAGTCAATCATCACCTCCCACTTCAAATCTTTCAACTTCTTTCTCCTTTAAGTAACAAAATTTGTTTGTCAATCGCGTTCCTTTTACTCTTTGATATTCACGTGCTTGATTACACTCCCTTTAATTATTCTTATCTAAATGTAAATTGCGAACGTTTCCTTAGCAAAGTTTTCTCGATATTTTCTCTTGTTTGATGAATAACAGCTGTCATTGCTCAGTGAACTGTTAATTTATTTCAACACGAGTCTGGTCGAAGGTGATTTCAAACAAATTCAAATTTTCCAATGACGTCATTAGAAAAATCATTGACAACGTTTGGAATGTGTTTTGACAAGCTGTAAGTTTTATTCTTTAACAATACTTTAAATTTGTTACAAAGTGAGTGGGCGTCGACCGATATTTGCGTAGGATTTTGTAGTTACATTTCAAATTTTAATAAAGTCTCGCGGGATATTCAAGCAAACGGGGTGAATATCATTTTTCACATCGCACCTAAACTCTGGGATAAGATCTTCGCTTCTGAATAATTTATCAGCGTTCCCAGATTACTTTTAATCGATTTTTTATTAAAACTTTCATTCATGATTCTAATAACGATTGAGATTCATTGTTATTATCTTTAGAATGAAGACGTTTGTTGATAGAATAACATAATAAAGTCGTTTTCTTATTCACCTATAGAAGGGGGAATATGATTTTTGATAAAAGTAATATTGAGTTGTCATCATCATCACATCATTTAATATTTCATGGAAATCACGATTTGCATTAGTAAACAAAAATTCAACAAAGATTTTCTCATCGTAAAACTTTATTTCTTCAAGAATACATGAAAGGAATACGAGATTAATAATAAAGATGATTTTATGTTAAACCGCCATTTCCATTTTGATGGTTGGGTAAGGATCGTAGCCAATAATTTCGAAATCCTCAAATTTGAAGTCGTCAATATTTTCAACTTGACGTTTAATCTTTAATTGAGGAAATGGACGTGGCACACGTTCAATTTGTGCTTTCAATGGCTCAATATGATTCAAGTAAACATGCGCATCGCCGAGTGTATGAATAAAATCGCCAATTTTAAGATTCGTGACATGAGCAATCATGTAAGTGAGTAAAGCATAAGAAGCAATGTTGAAAGGAACACCAAGACCCATGTCAGCTGAACGTTGGTACAATTGACAACTAAGCTCACCATCAGCGACATAAAATTGCACCAAGCAATGACAAGGTGGCAATGCCATGTCGGGAATCTGAATTGGATTCCAAGCTGTCATGATAATGCGACGGTCAGTGGGATTTCTTTTAATTCGTTCGATAACTTCCTTCAGTTGGTCGATTCCTTTACCAGTGTAATCATCATTGCATGTGCCATATTCAGCACCAAAATGACGCCACTGAAAGCCATAAACTGGTCCCAAATCACCAACCTGACGATGTGGAAATCCAGAAGCGTCGAGAAATTCTCTTGTGCTGTTTCCATCCCAGATTCGAATGTTTTTCTCTTGCAGTAATTTAGCGTCGGTGGATCCTTGAATGAACCAGAGAAGCTCCTCAGCTACAGCTCTCCAAAATACTCGCTTAGTTGTCAACAAAGGAAATTGATCACGAAGATTGAAACGCATTTGTGTTCCAAAAATACTCTTAGTGCCAACACCAGTGCGGTCATCTCGTGTTACACCTGTTAATTAAGTTTATCGTCACACGGGGAGTCATTCAAAACTCTTTTTTCCTCACCTTTCTTTATTATTTTGCGAATTAAATTCAGATATTGTTCTTCATCATGCTCATCTTCCTCGCTTGTTCCATTGTTATGTTGACCATTAAGTTTCTCGCTGCAAATTGTGGTTGACTCTGACACGTTATTACTTTCGTGTTGCTTTAATGAATGAAAGGAAAAAGTATTCGTTCTTCTTTGTATTCATTCTTTTGTCATTTTAATACTTGCCATTATAATACTCGAATAAATGTTGAAATGCTTTAAAGCGTTGATTTATTATTATTATTAAATTTAACAAGATTTATAATTTGATTTTTCTTCTTTTCAGAAATATTTCACACAAAATGTTTCCAGTAGCGTAGGTACAATGAAATATTCTGAATATTCTGTGTAAGTTTCATATGCACGACAATGGCAAGCGGGAATTAAATTCGCGCCAAAAATTAAGCAACGAGAGAGAAATGAGAGAGAAAAAAATTGAGAGAGAAAATTTCTTAAAGCTTGCCGCAGACATTTTTAAGCAAACTTTCGTAATGAATTTCTAAGATTAAATTAATGTTCAACTTTATTAATACGAAGAAGGAAGAGAATTCAAGTTAAAATGATACATTTCATTCTTCCATTTCCAATTAGTTTTAAAGAGAATTGTGAATATTTAAATGATGCAAATTCTGATGAAATCGTCAGGAATTTGTCATCGTTATTCGTCGTAAAACATGAGTTTCTTTTGAAAAGAATTCCCATATATCTAAATGATGCAGTTGAAACATTTTTCATACAGAACTGTTGACACGAAGAGATTACTTTGAAAGACAACACAGTAAGTATTAGATTGAAAGGTTATTTTCTAAAAGAACTGTAAGGATTTGAATTGAAATGTTTGTAACATCTTCAACATCTCGTATGAAGTTATTACATATTTCAGATTTCTATGCACATCTATTGCACTAAATAACTATGAAAACATGAATTCCATGTAAAAAAATCACTGAAATCATCTCTACTATACACCCACGCTTCAATCTAATTTCTCCTAGAATTTTCCACAAGCGCAAGCACAACTTAAAGCAAATAAAAATCCCAAGGCGATACTTTATCTAACAGTTTGTGTATATATACATGTGTAATATAAAATTCTAATCATGTTTCTTATTCTTACATTAAGATATCAGGAAAATAAGATAGCCCGATGTAGAATAATCTCATTGATCAACATACTAAATTTCTATTTTACTCAACCGCCTACATGTGTGCCAAAATCATAAATATTTGATGATAAATCTTATTCACTTGACTGTAATGAAACCAAATATTTACGTTTGTCTCGAATTTTGTTACATTTCTTATGTATGTGAACACATCTCGTGTCTTCACATCAGTCTTCCTTAGCCATAAATTTATTCCCACACGTCAAATGGCCTAATTCGATTAAAAACATAAATACAACAGTTGACTTTTATTGATTCTCATTTATTTATGTGAAAGTGTCGCAATTAATGAGATACTTTAATCTTTAACCTTTACAATGTAGTTTCTGAGTCTGTCAGCTTCAACCTGAAATTAAGTGCTTAACTATTATGGCTGCTGATGGAAAAATTGTAAATCGTAAGAACCACTTGACTGCAGATACGTTTTCCGTCAATTGACTTCCATTTTATTACATAAAATTTATTGTGATGGTAAAACGATGTAAAGTATAATAAATCGTGATATTTATTTATGACACATGAAAGTTTTTCCGCCAATAAAATGTTATTTCTCGTTCAGCTGTAAATAAACTAAAGCTTAAAGTTGAGGAATAAAACTTCTGATGTTGTTTAAAAATTCGTTTTATTCACATTATTTTTACAGAAAGATCTTCGCTTCCATCATTTCTTTCATCGCTTTTGCGACTTGAATATAATTTTATATAATTTCCGGACATTTCTTTCTTTATTCATACAAATGTAAATGTTTAACATTGAGTTGTGGGTGGTTAATACATATAAGAATAATTTGAAGAGTTCAAAGACAAACAGAGCTTCATAAATATTTGAATAATTGATTTTCTTTAATTTGTTCAAGTTCCTTCAAGTCTTTTTTTATTTATTAAACTTTAAGTTTAAAAGCTTTCAAAGCAATCAATCTCGTTTGATCATCATAAAAGTTATTGAAAATTCACCAAGAAGACATTTTTTCCATGTAGAATACTTTATAAAGTTATTTAACACCTTCAACATTGAACATTAATTTTATATGATGAATATTGAATATTGATCCATTGACAGGTAAATAAACTCGTCTTTTCTTCACTTTATGCAGTCTGATTAAATGTTTTATTAATAAGAATTTCATATTTATAATTTTAATTGGTTTCATCCCCCAACTTCTCGTATAATTTTATTTTGTTAGGAGGAAGGGAAAGGAAATTATGAAGTGAAAACACAAATTGTTTGACATAAATGTGAAAGTTCGCGAAGTATTGAAATTCATTTGAAAAGCTCGATTGCGAAATAATCGCTGAAAGCTCAATGCCGAGACATGTGAAGATTTCATCATCAGAAATTACATTAAATTGTTATCAAATCTCATTCTGATTCAATTCTCATCATTGAAGAGAAAGGAAAAACTTCGCACGCCTTTCAAACCAAACCGCCTTTGCAAACACAAAACATTAAAGGAAATTTTGAGATTAAAGCTTTAATTGGCAATTGGTAAAGAGAATTTTCAGCGGTTGAGGGAAAATGCTGGAAAATTTTCCCTTCATTGAGACTTTTAAGATAAATGTGTAAATACTTGAACTGGAGAACCTCCGAACCTTTCGGTTTTTGTGATCCTCGAATAAAAGAAAGAAAAAAAGAATTTAAAGGGAAATTTCATCGACAAAAGTTGTGGCTGGATGTGACTTTTGTCAACAAGATTCCTTATCGAGCTTTCAGTCATTTACAATGTCGCTATCGAGCTTTCATTTTGTGTTCACATTTTAAGATTGAAAAACATTCAAAATTATCCATTCGTGTTTGTATTAAATTTTTCTTTTAAATTGAAGATTTTCCGAAAAGAAAAACTGATAAAAAGAAGAAAATTTCAAGAAAGATCGTCGAAATGAGTTGAAATTTTTAACATCATCGTAAGCTTAAGTTTTTTGTTTTAGCTGCCTCTCATAATCCTTGGTACGTTTAGGCGTTTTGGTCAAGAACCGTTTTCCATTGGGAAAAATTAATAAAAAGATCTTAAACTGAATCGTTTCATCAATTTTAAGCTTCTTTAAGAAGGAACTCAAGACGTGAAGTGATTTAAATTAAGAAAATTATCAAGTCGTTGATGATTGAAGTGGGAAATGAATAAAGTTCAACAAAACGTTTAAAATCTTCCACTCGAATGGAATCATGACGGGGACAATCAACAAGTTGAGTTTATTTTCCCCATTTTTGGAACAATCCCATTCGCTGACATCGACAGTTGGAGCCCCAGAGATTGCAGCGACATGATGAGTTGTAGCAACATCCGTTTGGCCGATGATCGCAGTTTCCTGACCGTCTGATGCAAGCACGCCTAAAAACAGTAATGAGGGAAGACCGTCTAACAAAAATTAGAAAATATAATAAATTTTCATGTTTCGCAGTGTTTGCGTTTACACAAAGTTATCGAATTTGAGCTAGAGAAATGACACAAAATTTCATTTGATAACACAAATTTGTGATGAAAATTACATGGGAATAGCCAAGCAAATGTTAACAACCAAGACTCACTTTTCTGCAGGCACCTGCAGGTCGTCCAAGTAGTTGTCAGGTGCGGGGTAATTTAACTCATCGTCTGTGAAGAAAGAACAAAAATTAATTATGTAAAATCAGTTTTGATACAATAACATCGAATTGCTTAAGGAGATTCTTATTTTCTTTATTCTTAGTTTCTCATGCAGTCTGAAACTAGATTTTCCACATCATTAGTTTCCCACNATGTGACTTTTGTCAACAAGATTCCCCATCGAGCTTTTAATCATTTACAATGTCGCTATCGAGCTTTCATTGTATGTTCACATTTTAAGATTGAAAAACATTCAAAATTATCCATTCGTGTTTGTATTAAATTTTTCTTTTAAATTGAAGATTTTCCGAAAAGAAAAACTGATAAAAAGAAGAAAATTTCAAGAAGGATCGTCGAAATGAGTTGAAATTTTTAACATCATCGTAAGCTTAAGTTTTTTGTTTTAGCTGCCTCTCATAATCCTTGGTACGTTTAGGCGTTTTGGTCAAGAACCGTTTTCCATTGGGAAAAATTAATAAAAAGATCTTAAACTGAATCGTTTCATCAATTTTAAGCTTCTTTAAGAAGGAACTCAAGACGTGAAGTGATTTAAATTAAGAAAATTATCAAGTCGTTGATGATTGAAGTGGGAAATGAATAAAGTTCAACAAAACGTTTAAAATCTTCCACTCGAATGGAATCATGACGGGGACAATCAACAAGTTGAGTTTATTTTCCCCATTTTTGGAACAATCCCATTCGCTGACATCGACAGTTGGAGCCCCAGAGATTGCAGCGACATGATGAGTTGTAGCAACATCCGTTTGGCCGATGATCGCAGTTTCCTGACCGTCTGATGCAAGCACGCCTAAAAACAGTAATGAGGGAAGACCGTCTAACAAAAATTAGAAAATATAATAAATTTTCATGTTTCGCAGTGTTTGCGTTTACACAAAGTTATCGAATTTGAGCTAGAGAAATGACACAAAATTTCATTTGATAACACAAATTTGTGATGAAAATTACATGGGAATAGCCAAGCAAATGTTAACAACCAAGACTCACTTTTCTGCAGGCGCCTGCAGGTCGTCCAAGTAGTTGTCAGGTGCGGGGTAATTTAACTCATCGTCTGTGAAGAAAGAACAAAAATTTCTTTGTAATTGCATTGCTTTAAAAGCAAAACAAACCTTTTGAAGAACTCTCGAGAAGATAATTAAAATTTTTTTAGTAAAGTTTTACGCTCCTTTACAAGCAATTTCTTTGAAGTTATTTTCACTTTTGCAATCCTTTTAGTCAGAAAACTTTTTCCTTTCGAGCCATTAACTGTTTATCTAGCGTTAACACAATTACTTGTTACGTTATTCTGTTAACTTGTTTCAGAGATTTTCCTGACATTACTAACGAAATTTAATTCGAAGGAATTTTCTCAAGCACAAAATAAACGAAAAATTTCTTTGATTGTTCAATGTAAGATAAAAGAACTTTTAAATCAACCCACAACCAACCACTTCATTAGTATTGAAGTAAATTAAATGAAATTTGTATTTACCCCTAATTTTGCATTCCTGCAATCACCACTCAAAAACATTTTTTGATCAAATTGATAATGCTTGAGGGATAAAAAAAATCTAAAAGCATTCCATCAAATATAAATTCACTTGTGACCAATAGAAATCAAAATGTTTTGATTTTCCTTTGTGACATTTTGATGTTGGTAGATATTACTAGAGAAAGACTCTTCAATCTGATTTAATATAAAAACCTTCACCTTATCTTATCAAAGCAATATGAAAAGCCAACAAACGAAATTTCCCTTCAATCAATATCGCAATATGAGAACAAATTAGACTTTATTGTTGAACACGTTAAGTGTTTGATGAATGGAGAAAGCTTATGATAAATCCAGCAGATATTGAAAATCAAGTATAGATTAAAATCAATAAATTTGATTGAAAAAGTTCGGGAAGATATTTTTGTCAGCTTGTTTCAGATTAAAGAAAGTTAAGAACATCTCAAAATAAACTTCCAATAAAAATTCTTATTAGGAAAGAAAACTTTTGCGTTATCTCCAATTACAAATACGTTGCTATGAAGATTCACGTCACTTTAACTTTACAATTTTTTTTAAATTTAAAAGAAGAAAGAAAAAGTTTAAGAAAATTCTTCGAATAATTCTTTATTTTTCATTGAGAATTTGCGTAGGTGTTTTAAGAACATTTATTTGACGCATGTTAACTTTGGAAAAGAGAAAGATCGTAAATGTCATGGTCATAAACTTCAAACAGGAGTTGACTTATACGATAACGTCAAACTTTATTGTGTCATCAATCATGAACATTATACACAACATTTATATGCAGATAAGTAAACATACTTCCATTAGCCTTTAGTCTCTATCATAATATGTTTATGTTTGAGTTTTCTCTTCCAAATTTCTTGCTTGAATAAGATAAACGCGCTTAAAGTTTTAGTCGACTTTAAAAGTCTGAAAACATTTCAACAAACAGTCAAATTATCTGAATAATCAATTTAGTTCTACAATGTAGATTAATTGAATGAATGATTAATGTGGATCTGATACGTACAGGGGCAAATCGATTGGCAATAATTGATTGAATGAAAATTGAAAATGTGCAAGGGAGACAATTTGTAAATATTTATCGGGATCAGCGTGATACAAATTACGTGTCGTTTTGTTGGCACTTATACAAATGAGGCATAAAACACTGAAACAGCGTGAGTAAATACTTGAATTGAAAGCGTGATGCTCGAGAATTGGAAGAATGCTTTTGGAATTTGAAAATGCAAACAATTCTTGTTGTTTCAACCCATTAATGCGTGAAATTTATTCAAGAGAAATGGCACAAAAACCTTACGTACTTATCTTAACATGTAAAGAAAACAATAAAACTGTTTGGTTTTCATTCTTTAAATATTTTACGATCTTTGAAGATGCTAATGTTGTTAAAAGGAGTCTCATGAATCTTTTTCTAAGATAAAAGATTTTTTGCTTTTTATTTGAATGACTTTCAACAATATTTTATTGACATTCTCTTCACCCATTTGATGTCGGAGTTTTTATCTCCACTGAGGCTGAACAAAAGAAATTCTTTTTATGTGATAATTTTATGTCAGACGAGAATTCAATTTTCCGTCTAAGCCTTCAATGAATTTCCCGAAGGCTTTTGTACTTGTGAGTATGTGTAACAAAATAAACAGCATGTGACGAAAAGTAAAATTAATGTTAGAAATTTAAAAGAATTTTCCACCAAATAATAACATCCGACTTTTGAAATGGCGTTTGAACGAAATACCTTAAAGCATTTTTTCCATATGGATGTGTTCAGCATCATTTCTCAGTTCCGTTGGCAATTTATCATATTTTGCCGATGGAAGGAGAGAAATAACATCAGGATTCAGGCCTACTCACCATTCAATAAATCACTATCCAAATATGAATTTGCCTTAATGGTGACAAGAATGAGACAAAAGAGTGACAAAACCACAAAGTAACGCATGTCGATGCTACTTTTAATAAATCAAATCAACTGAATAAGAACAAAACTCTGACACGAGAGAATTGTTCACTGGAATCACTTCAAAACGTCTTTTCTATATTTTCAGAAATGATTTTTCTTTTTTTCTAACATAAATTTGATGAAGAGAAAGAAGAAAAGTTTTTCTATTTTCGCGACCACAAAACTTTCACGTCTTCGCTCTTTGGCGTATCGATGTTGATTGTGGACGAGAAAACTCAAAAGGAAAGAACTGTTGAATGAAAATTCTGGAAGTTAACAACTTGTTACCTCAACGAGAGAGGAAAATTGTGAGAGAATTTCCATCGAAAACATTTCTCTGACTTGTGAATATTCTGACTTACATACTGGAAATGTTAAGCTCCGATGTTAAATAAAATATGATTGAATTCGTAATTTAACTTGAAAGGCTTCCCAGATATCATATTCATGAGAAAAGGATAATCGAGTTACATTGTAACATTCAAATGGAGTAAATGGAATTTCTTTGCTGATTTCATAACCAGCAAAGATTACTTCTGTACGACTTCCCATAATCAAGTAAACTTAGTTAGTAGCTACAGAATTAATACAAAACCAAGACAAATCAGTTTAGTGGTTTGAAAATTTGTCAACAGTTTTGCAAAACAAATCTTGAACTTTTCAGCATGAAATTTAATTATGAATAAAAAAATTCTGATGAAGAATGCAGACAAAAGTAAATTAATATTTTTGAGAAATGTCTGAGAATTTATGACGTTATCTTGAATCTGATAAAATTGATAGACTTTTAATTGTTTTGAAAAGAGATAAAAAATTTTCTTTTTCTTCCCACAGATTTCAACATGACACGATTCAAAACTTTGAAAAAAATTCGAAAATTTCTTATTTTAAACATTTATAAGGAAGTTGTTATTTATATCTTTAATCCACCTTTTAATCATCGAAACTTTAGCTCGCAATAGTTTTTCTTTGAAACTATAACATTTCTTCATTAAAGAAAATTCTTAATGAAAAATCTTTCAGTGCAGTAGAAATAAGTTAGATAAAAGTTGCAATGATAAGAGGTAAGTAGAAAACTTTTGTCAAGAAAGTTAAATAAAAGTTTTGTATGAAATTTTTATAATTTCTCTCGTTTCGATGACGTTATGATCGTTATGAGTTTTATTGACTTAATTCGAATAAACAACAAAACAATCGTAACTCTTTAAAAGAACTTCAATAAATCATAAGTCAAACTTGATTTATTTCATTCTAAACATTTAAAGGATTTGTCGTTTAAATTTTAAAGGCAAGTGAATCGAGAAACATGACTTTCTCGTTCTTGAATGTACATCAACAGACATTCTCATTTTTCATTTGGTTATGACATTATGTTGATGTAACAAATGTAACTCTATAACCACACGTGATACATTTTCATAGAAAAACAATTTTCATCAGCTTCGAAACAACTAAGTTCTTGGAAAGAATAATTCTTGAGAAACAAAAAGACAATTTGTTTAGAATTGAACAGAAAAAATTACTTATTTGGCTTTGTTCAAAAGCTACGAAAGTCTGAAAAGCTCAAACGCAATGTTAGAAGAAACTTCAGAAATTCATCTAAACAGACGTAATAATGAAAACATGTGCCATTCACGATTATTATGCTTGTAAATATTATGGGGTGACAACAAATGAAATGATGAAAAGTTTGCACATTTCTTGACTGAGTTACATTTGAACGATGAAAACACCAAATTTCATTTATTTTCATTATTTTAGTCAACATGTAACTTTATTCAACAATATTCTTTATTAAATATTGAATGAAAAGTGGATAGATGAGCTCTGTGGCGATGGCGAAGCCTCCAAAAGCCATCAATAAGGAAAGAAGTCTTTTACATGTTTATTCGACTGGTGATGATGGTGAGAGCAGCGATTACATAAAAATTGTTGGCATTTAGCGGGAATCATATCCTCATCAATTCAATTTTGGAAAAGTTTATTAAATATTAAACTGACGATACTTCTATCATAGAAACATATCAAAACACGCAATTACTAAATAATTTCCAACCAGACATTTCTTCTTTATCAATATTAAAACTTGCGAATGTAAATAATAAAATTTTATTTCATTTGCTGATGTCTTCTGGCTGTTTTGAAATGTCACCATTTAAATAATTAAAAACTCTTTAACTTAAAGCAAATTTTATGTTTTAGAACAATTCCGCAAAATTTCATACCTAATTATTTCATTTCACATTGTCAAAATTGGACTCAATAAGCTGCCTGAAAATTTCAAACCTTTCAACTTCACAATCATAAATTTAAATTAAAAGTAAAATATTTTTAATATTGAAGCATGAAACCTGAATTTTATTTTTCCTTTTCTTTCTTTAATTTACAAATATCTATTAAAATTCTTATAAGCACGTGTGGCGTAGATATCATGAAAACATTGACACTTTCTTTTTTACTAAAAGCCTGCAAGCATATTTTGTGTCTTTTCAAAAGAAATAAAACAAATGAGAAGAATAAATTGTCTTGAAAGAATGAAAAATTGTTCTGCTTTCCTATCACATTGTAAATTGTCTTAAGTTGATTCAATTTATTTCTCTTCTACCTCGACTGTAAAGGCTGCGAATATTCATTCCCACGAAGTAAAGGTGACGATGAAACCTCCAAAATTAAATTAGTTTCTTCTCTTTCTGTTGCTTCAACTTACACAAAAGTTTTAAAATAAAAACTTTTTCTTCTTCTTCTTCTTTTCACTCGTTTCTGACTTTATTTCACTTGTATCCAAATCCTGTCAATTAAACGAATTAATTTAAGATTAGCCATTAAAAAACCATATCATGAGTGAATTTTTCTTACCTTGTCAGCATCAAGCTTCTTGTTTTTAAGCTTCTTGGCTTCTTTTAATTTTTTTTTCTCCTTCTTTGAAAGCTTTGTAGGTGTTTGGTTAAGATAATCTTGATCCAACTTTGCTGTGTGACTTTCCATTCGTTGCTTGATGCTCTAAACAACAAAAATTAATTAAATTGTCATTCAAATTGATATTATCGAATATTCAACTCACTAAATCTTCTTCGGCTTCCCGTAACCGGTCACGATCGAGACAATCAACGACTTCATTACGAAGTTGCACAATTTCAACAAGACGTGCAATGAGCGCTTCCTCCTTAGCTTTATCAGAATCAGTTTTATTTTGTTCAGGTTGAGCCATTAAAGTTCGAATCTCATATTCAACATCAGCTTGTTCTTCTTCCAAACGATGAGCACGTCTTAAGTACATTAACTCAGCTTGACGTCTAAACAACTCATTTTTCTCATTTACAATTTCGAATAGTTGCAAAATCAATTCCTCAACTTCCTTCGGATTCTTTGTCGGTGGAAGTGCTTCGAGAAGTTCTTCTGTCGTTCGATTGTCAGCAGTGCCTTCACAACGTTCTCGAATCATCTTCTCCAACATTACGCCTTGCTTTTCCAATCCTTGCTGTTGAACTTCAATCACCTCCAATTCTTGTCGAATCTCTTGAAGTGGCAACATTTGAAGAACTCGACGTTGAGGTTGAGCAAAGCCAGGAAGTGCTGGCGCTGGTCCTTTTCGTCGTTTCCATTTACCATGCGATGATTTATTCAAATAAGGCAATGAATCAGTTGATTCTGTCTTGCTGTTCATAAGCGAGCCTTGACTTTGACGTTGACGATTTTCTGCTTCTTTGTTGTCTTTGCTCTGCTCGAGATTATCGAAAGTTTCATCATCTTGTGACGTGGGCATGATTGGAACAATTTTTCTTCGATATGTCACTGCTTCCGTTTCCGATTTATTCTCGGAAGAATTCTCTTCCATTAAACATTCTCCAAGTGGGATTAAACGACGATTGGTTTGAGATGAAAGTGAAGTTGATTCATTTATTGAACTATCGATCGTTGAAATACTTTCATTCATGCTTTGATTATCTTCACTCACTTGAACATCATTTGAAGTGACATAAAGTGAATCATCGTTTTGTTTTGGTGTTGACGAAGGAGGTGTTGGAGCTGGTCGCTTCTTTCGAGGCGTTGTTGAAGGCGTCTGAAAGTGAAATAAATTTTATGATGATGAATTAAATTAAATTCTATGAAAAATCTTACCTTAAATGGACTCAAATGTTCGTCACCGTTAGTTAATGATGTTAAAGCAGGAGGTGGAGGTGCTTTCTTCTTCTTTCGTCTTAAAGTCATTCCATCTGACGAAGATGCTAATGATGAAGTTGATCCTTTGAAACTATGACCAGGCGAGTAACCCGACAGTGAACGTTGTGATGGTTCGGGGGTTGTTGAATGTCTGGAATATTTGTATTTTAACATGATTAGTTTGTGCACTTTTGATCACTGACGAATGTCAAATGAAACACAATGGACGACAATTCTCATCGCACGTTTTAACCATTCAAAACGGTTTCTTTAAACGCCAAAAAATGTACGCAAAAGAAAAGAAGTGAAAGAAATTTCATCAGCATTCTTAATGTGTAAGTATTGCTGAATGTTGTGACATAATTGTTGACTGGGTGAAGCTTTCATTTTGGTTAAAAATGCTAATAAATAAGCGATTGTTATGTTCTCATTTGGTTTACAAAAGAAAAGTGTTGGATTAAAGATCAAGATTTAAACCAGAGTTAGATTAGGGTTAAGATTAAGATTAGGATTAACTTACAACAAAGGTTTTCGTGGAGTTGGAACTGGAGTTCGATTTACTGTTACTGGGACATTTTGTTGTTCTTCATCTTCGTCGTCAGATCCAAAGGGATTCGTTGAGACTCCTTTCATTGTCATTGCTTTCGGTGGAGGTGGACGTGGTGGTTTCGGCAACGTTCCATAAGAATTTTTAACTTCTAATTTCTCTTCATCTTCGTCTTCGGAACAACTTCCAAATGGATTTAAACTTTGACGTTCTTTCGAATGACTTGAAGAAACTTTTGATGATTTTACTTCAGTTTCATCATCACCAAATGGATTCAAATCATCGGGATATATTTTATCTTCTTCATCAATCGTCTTCGTCAACTTCTCTTCTTCGATTCCCTCTTTTTCTTCTTCAGTCTTTCCATTATTTGAGCTTTCTTCAATTTCTTTTATTTCTTGTTTCATTGGCTCTACTGCTTTTGTTGTTGTTGTTTCTTCTTCAAAAGATTTAATTGGTGTCGGTGCTGTGACGATTGGAATAGGCACAACTGGGCTGTTGAATGCATCTTCGGCAAGTTTCTCAAATTCAAGTTCGATATCATCAGGCACATTTTCTTCTACAACTACAGGTGCACTATTGTGAATGTCTTTATTTTCTTCTGCGTGAGATTCTTGATTTGTTTCTGCTGCTTTAGCAATGGCTTCAATATTTTTGCCGTGTGTTAGTTCTTTGGTAACATTGATATTGTCCGGCACTTCACTAATTACTTTATGGTCACTTATTTTAGTTAGTTTCGTATCACTTATCGATGGAATGGAGGGCGCAGTTTCATCATCACTTTCCGATTCGGAACTTAGAGTTTCCGCTGTTTTCTCTTCTTCACTTACTTCCGTTTCATGCGCTCCAATTTGCGTTGACAGGAAATTGTTAAGAGCTGGCGAATTTACTGGCGTTTGTCGACTCAAACTCTTTGATTTCTCTTCATCACTCAATGACTTCTTCAATACACTCGACGACTCTTTTTCAAAAAGAGCAATTTTTTGTGCAATCGATAAACGATTTCCTTCATCAACTTTTGCTTTTGTCGACTTTTCTTCATCGGGACATGTTTCACAACAATATTCGTGATCTTTCTCGGTTTCATAAAAATTTCCCAATGTTAAGATTGAGCTGCATCTTGCACAACGGAAACAAGTGCGATGATAAAGACTTTGATTGATGATTAAACGTTCAGCAAGGAACACAGGATTATTGCACTTAACGCAAGGCTCCCGTCTAGGTACAACATTAGCCATCTAAAATAATTCGAATCATTTGATAAATAAAAGAAACTTCTTTCCCAGTTGTTCTTATAAATAATTGCAAAATTAATAATTGATGTAAGAATGCGAGGTAGTTCTATAACTAATGTCAATTAATGTTAATAGATGATGTGATAAAAAATAATTCGTGCAATTAGCAATTAATCAATTCAATTTTAAATTAAGATTGTAATTGTAAAGACGTAGAACTATGTTCTTCGTCTCTTATCGTTAAGTCATGCCGCAAACATTATCTTTCTTTTTTTACGACATTTAAAAATATATTTAAGTTATGACTCCAAAACCAAGGCAAACAACAACAAAAACGATATCATCGTCTTAATTTACCTGATGATTAATGCGAAAAATATTTTTTGATGATGTCTTCAGGATAAATGATACGTTTTGCGGTAAGCTTATATTATGATCTAAATGAGTATGAACTGCAACTCGCTAATACTATTATGTGGATTTTTCCTTAAGCAACAATATTAAATTTGATATAAAAACTTTTAAAATTTCTTCTTATGCTCGCGTGACTTAAAATTTTTTTTAACAAATGATCTCGGGCAAAAAAGTTCCTTTCAAGCTATCGTCCTGCGTGATAACAATGATATAGAAAAAAAGAAAGAAAAAACAACATAGTTATAAATATTTTTATGATTTAAGCGGCCTTATGATACGTGTATGTACTACAATAAGACTCATAAATGAAAGTAGAACACGAATTCTTGAATGATTCATTCGACAACTAACTTTTATTTCACTTTAGAGCTGCTTAGCTTGATTTTTAATGTCAAATTTTATGCTATGCACTGAACATTTAGTACGACAACACGATTGATAAATAATAAAAACAGTATGGGTTGGTTATCACAATTAAAATATTAAAAACAAGATTTTAACAAAACCTCTTAATTCTCAAGAAAAATGAAAATATTCGAAATTGCGAATCGGTTTTCGAAGGCTTTTTGAACTTTGAAAAAGCTTTCGATTTAAATTTTTAACCGTTAAACTTAAAAGCTTACGCATTTATGTAACGGAAATTAAGCACTGTCGATTAATCGCGATTTTTAACTTTTATCTTAAAGGATATCTACATATTTTAAGTTAAATTGATAATGCAATAAATCAGTGTGACCAGAAAATTAATTCGAAAGTTTGCATGCCATTGTCATTAAAATCATTGCTAAAAGGAATGCAAAATATGAGAAAATAAATTACGAATGTGGCATTTTATGAGTGATTGAGTGATTTTCACACAATGAATTGTTTGACATATAAAATTTGCATAAACAGTCCACAGTGAAAGTTACATATCTTTTTTGATTTTTACGCAACAAATCAACTAAACAATAAAAGCAGATTGAAAAGGAATGAATCATAACAAGAATGTAAGAGAAAAAGCACACATAATAAAAAACAAATCTTTTATTTTTTTAAGAAAAGAAAATATGAATGAACATTGAAAGCATTTCATTTTACTTCATTTTATGACTCCCAATATATGACTTACCTTTGCAGGTGGACTTGTTGAAGATGATTTATTCGCTTCTGCTGTTGACGAACGTTTACTGAGTCGTAAAGAGTTTTCTGTTGAATCAAAAGAAATGGAGAAAAGTTAACAAAAGAAAGAAACCGTTAGTGAGAAGTTTGAAAGAACAAAAACAAAATAAAAGAGTTAATTAATGAATCATGTATGACACTCAATTTTCCTATTCAACATTTTGCGACAACAATAGAATAATCAGTAATTATTTCAGTTTTGGTATTTATAGACGAGAACAGTTTTTAGAATGGAAGAAAGCTATTAAAGTTTATTTCTTCTTTCCAATCGTGCGGAGTAAAACAGCTAAACTATCATGTCTTCTCTCATTCGAACAACAATCAAAACTTACGATTGCGTGCTAACCAGTGGTTTAATATTTTGTCTAAACACATGTATACAAATCGAAATGAAATTGAAGAGCGAATGGAGGAGGAAAAAATAAGGAATAACAAATAAAACAAAGAACTTGAAATAATGATACGATGACGCAGCGACACGATGAAATGAGATATGTCGCGAGATCTCGCTCGTCGGTGGATTTATCTAGACCTTATTTATCTAACAAAAGAATGAAGTTTTTTTTCTCTCTGTGAAACTTTACATAAATCCATCTTTAAAACTTATTCACAGTTTTATGTTGTCCAGTTTTTTTTATCGAGACATGTTTATGTTTCACCTTTCAGAATCATGAATAAGAAGAGCTTGAAAACCTTGGAGGAAACAGAACGTCTACCTAGTGCAAGTTATCACTTCTTCATTTGAAGGTAAATTGCGATTGCAAGTAATGGATATAGAAAACATTAATCGTCAAACGATCGCAAACATTTTATGCAAACAGAGATATGAGGTGTTAATGTTGCTAGTGGAATGGTGAAATATGAATAACTTGCGAAATATAAACAACTTAGACTGGGTTGAAAGTGAGGAATATGAACGCGATAATTTACTCGCTGATTAACACGAAGCTATAGAAATTTCAAGTTGAAGAAAGACGAGAATTAACTGATGGCTTGTAGCATAACTTTCTGACTTGACTTCGAAGTGTCGGATAATTTATGAAACAGGATTTTTTTATGATTCGATGAAAGAGCGAGAGTGTTATTTGAAACTGGAAAGGCGCTCGAGAACGCACGTCAATTTCTCAGAACTTCAGTCAATATTAATGGCACATTACTCCCTGACCATCTCGTATTCAACTGCAGAAAATAAAACAGGATTTAAAGGCACTTTAAAGTGAACCATCTTCGGGGTCTTCTTTTAATTCATTCTCATCTTATTCTCTCTCTTCTTTTGCTATTGTGCAATCGATCTTTCTTTCTTTCTTTTTACCTGCATTGCCATGGATATTTGAGATGGATTTATGTTGAAATGTTGTTATAATGGGCATGAAAAGAAAGATGTACATAGTTATTAACAAATACGTTTCCAAATCGAAAACAGAAATAAATTTAAGATCATCTTCGATTTTATATGTAAGCAGATTTCTGATCTTCTTCTTTTTAGAAAATAATAAGAGGTTGGCAAAACATTAAGTGCTTTACTCTTTATTTCGCTTTAAATAATCCATTCGAACACAATTTCAGTTGCATAAGTTCTTCGTCTATCGTTAAGCATGGTTTTAATAAATGTGTAATAAGGAAAAGCAAAACTCATCCGCACACGAGGTGTGTTCGTTCGTTATGATTTAATTTTCGTAAATAATAAAAAAAATAGTTAAATTGTTATTTTTCTACTTATAATGGCAGTTGCTACAACTTAAAAAAGCATGTCTAATGTTATTTCTTTTTTCTCGTCGATTACTATGTATTGAGCTTTCACTTTCTAAGCTTAATGTGTCGTTTGCGATAATGTCGATTACTGAAATTGCCCTCGCGCTCTGATCATCGTGTATTGCAGATTATGTACGTACAAATCTTGTCAGACAATGAACTCTCCTTGTGGAGCTTGTGAAGTGTGCATTACTACGCATGTTGTGATTATTTTTTTTTTCCTTCTTTTCATCGCGGTTAAGTAATTGAAGTGACGAATTGAGTTTCACTTGGTGTGACATTATACGGAAGACTTAAATGAACGGGTCATTAAATCAATGGTTTATGTAATTTACTACGATTCAGTTGAAGTTGTTAAGTGAAGGTTTTCTTCTTAAAGATAGTGCAGCAAGGGAGACTTAATGTTGCCGACAAAAGAAAGTCTTGTTGTTTGTCGAATAAATACTTCTCACATTGATCTCTCTTTTTAAGACTTCAAACCTGTGAGTTTCTCATTCAGAACTTTTCTTTCTTTGTTAAACATTTTTATGCAAACAGCAAGCATAAGAAGCCCTCTAATGGTTTCATGAGAAATTTATTGCTTCCTTTTATGCATTAAAAAGATTGTCAGGTGGTCAAAAAGTATGTATGAAAGTTTTCGGTTTAATTCTCACGGTTATTTTGATTGTTTCTTAAAAAAATAAGACGAGAAAGGGGAAAAGAAAGATTTAACTGATTTCGAAGAAAAAACAAAGATGTTCAGACATGTAGAACTTTTAATTTTATTATTATTGCAGAGATTGTTTCTGATAGCATTCATCAATCAATCGAAGCATGCAATTATGGTTCAGTGAGCTTTCTATGCGCAGAAGCATATCAAGCTCAACTGTGCATAATCACATTGGATTCTAGAATTTTCACGGGACACGAGCTGGCTTGGCTTGAGTACGTAATAAATCTGCTTGTGATTACATCCACAATGAATGACCATTCTTCAGAACATGTTTGATGATACGCACAAAAAATGAAGCGAACTGAATAATTACAATGTGGAAAAACAGAGACGGAAGCACACAATTTTCATTATTCTGTCTCCACTTCATTCGTCAATCCATGATGTAATCGACTTAAAGTCTAGAGAAGAATCAGCGATTATAACTGTAATTAAATGAACATCACAAGAACCTTTTTTTCATTAAATCAATTCTTTTGTATGTATTTATAAGACGGAAGATTTGTGAAGATCGCCAGCGTTGATCAAGTTGAAAATAACTTGAAATGAATTGAATCTTCTATCGACCAACCATCAACAATCGCTTTGCGACAGATGGAGAATCCGAAGAGCGCTAACAATAAGCATGCCTTCATTTTTTTACAAAACATCGATATTTGTTCAGTAAAATGAGTTTTCAATATTATTAAAACGCTTCTCGCTTCTCAATCAAACTGAGAGAAGAATGAAGAAAAAAATTGTAATTTAATAGTTGAATGATTTTTTTTTCTACTTCCACCTCAAAGCCAATCTGAGTGAGTGAGTGTTTAGACTCCTCGCCTCTTCCTCTCTCATGATTATTCTGATTGCTGAATCATTCAATGAATGAAGCTATTTTGAATATTATGTTTAGTGGCGCAAGCTCACGTTACTTGATTAACTGCACTTATGAAAGTTTAAAGTGGGATTCATTTCGGGGGGCGACTCAGATGAAAGAGAAAGAAATGGAAAAGGAAGATTAATTATCTTCGATGAAGGTTTCATGGCGTCAAGTCAAAAGTTCAAAAGACATAAATTGGCGAACCTCACAAAAAATTGCAATCGACACAGAGGCCACTTTTTGTGATGAAATGTCATAAAAAGAGATTTTTTTTGCTGATGGAAATCAATAAAGCTGTTCGTTGGTAAATGATTTATCGCCGAAAAAAAAGGTCATTTGTTGTAAACGAAACGACCTCCATCATGACATCAGATGTCGAACGAACGAGCACTAATAGCTGTAAAATTTTTCATTTTTTTTAATTGACTGATGGGAAAGTCGGAAGGAAGGCAACCGACAGAGTCAAAACAATTTTCAAAAATCATTTCCGCACGAGCTGCGATTAAAGAGAAACAGAGAAAGAGAGAGAAAAAAGCAAAAGTGGAGTTAAATCACTGGAACGATAAAAAAAATTAATTTAAATTCACATTATTGAAAGGCAATCGACATTATCACTGAATAATCAACCGTGTAAAAAAACGAAAGAAAAATTGGATCGGGAAAAGCGCACGGAAAGTTTCTCCTCATTTTTCAATTAAATTATTCATAGATGATTAGTCTAAAAACTTAAATCACATTTCTCTGATTACTGGTTGAATTTACTCAAAGTTGTTTGCCTTATAATAGTTTTTTATTTATTTTGTTGTTGACTTAAATAGAGCGACACAACAAAAGACAAACAAGTTTGTTGTAAATAATAACAACAAAATGTTAAAATTTAATTATGTTATGCAATTGTATTCTCTGTTCCGGATAAACAAGCATAGTCAAGTCAATTGCAAATTAATCTATGAGCTCAAAACCTTGAAAATGTATTAAAGGTATTAAAGTAAAAAAAAAAGCTTGGATATCTAAAAAAATTACTTCATAAGAGACTTTGTGGCTACGATAAAACATGCAGATACACTCAACACTCAAATCAATTTTTCTTAAGTTCAACGTATCGTTAAGTCGATGTACTTTTAAGCCACCATGACATATTTATCATAACGTCGTCTTACTGTTGTCTCAGAGACAATGTATGTTGCATTAAGCAATAAAATATTGCAATGCTTACATGTTACAACAACATATTATGTTTTCGGTGATTAAAAATAAAGGAAAGAAAAATTGTTGTACTTAAGAAATCGCGCAAACGAATGTGGTTGAAATGAAAATCAATAAAAAATTCTGTTATGCATTTAAGTCAACAGTAAAGCAGCGAGTCTTAGATCGTGTAACATAGCACAGTATGTACTTATGTAGAACCATCGAAGTTAAGAAGAAATTTAAAGATTTCAACATAGTCGATTATTTACTTTCACTTTTTAATGCTTTTTCTTCTTCTTTTTCACAACAAATCGTTGAAATGAAGTTTTGATTGCTTTCCTAATGCTCACACAAGGCGTTTGAAGTGGAAAGTTGTGATAATAAAAATTACGTCTTAAATGATTTCGATGAAAGGCTTTTTATAGCGACATAAACGTGGAGACTTCAAAAAAAAAAATAACAACTAATTGAATTTATTTAAGTTTTAAACAATTATGAAGTGTTTAGCACTAAGGCACGATCAAATCTGCAGAAAGAAATCAACTTTTACTTTGACTAGATGAGTTATTGAACTTGTTATTGACTTGAGCATTTCCAATCACTGCGAAACCAAACTCTATGTTTACAGAAACAAAAACAAAAAAATGTTTCTTTACTTCACATAAATTAGCGTGAAAGAAAAACGCGATTCATTATTTATTGAAGTCTACAGAAACGCGCGCTTGTCCACTCGCCGATAGGACAAAATGTCTCGACCGACACTTAGCTTGCAGAAATTTAAAACGGGATTTTCTTTCTCTTTCAATTTGTGGGCTCGCATAGATTACTTCTGCAGAAGAAGAATGAAGAAAAAATTTAAATGGATTGTGTTGCAATCAACAAGATGAAACTTGTTCTTTCTCTAGGTGAGACTTTCGATGTACCTACATGATGTTAAAGTGTTTATCTCGATCGCTTTGAATTTGAAGCTTTTGTAATATTTTGTAATATTTGAAAAGTAGATTCTCAGATATTCTCCAACAATATGTGAATGATTTGTCGAAATTATGTTACTCAATACGTTATTAAGTAACCCGTAAAAAAGCAATTGAAACAATCATGTTTCACATAAATATCATCTCGATAAACTTTGCGCAAATGGCTGTTTCCAATCAAACAGTCAATATTCATTGAAATTCTTACGTTTTAATCACTAATTGCATTTTAAGTTGTTTAAATCGACTGCGGGGAGTGCAAAAGCAAATCTCGTGCAATTTTCATTCTGCAAATTTATGTTGTATTTCATAAGACTCTCGCTTATGAAAATTGAATGGAACATTATGGGTGAACTCAAGTTTACCAATAAAAAATAAAACAACGAAAATGAAACTGGCTTGGAGATCATAAATTTGATAAAGTTAATTAACCTACGTGTTGGAACAGACCAACAACCGAACAATTCGTTGAACTCGTGTGAATATTTTTCATTTGCTCAAGTATTCGCCAACAAGCTGAGATCTGAGACATATCTGTGGGTGACTTGAATTGCTCTTTGTTAATGCTTGTCTCGCAGCTCTTGTTAATTTGCTTTTGCTTTTATTATATAAATAAATTTGTTACATCATTCGGCATAATCTTCAGTCGGCTTCAGTTTTATGCTTGTTTGTGAACTGAGGGTTTGATCGTATTTGTTATTTATTTGCTTTAGAGTTAAAGATGTTATAACTTCGCTTTTATTTGCAATAAAAAAAAGTTGGTGGCAAATATTTCTCTTCTCCATCAATTTAGTTCATTAATATAGATATAAATGCATTGAATTTATTATTTTCAAAGGTGCTAATGGAAGCTTGAGGGCATCAGGAAAAGTTTACACTTTATGTAAAATTTTATTAGCAATTTCTTGAATGAAATGAGGATGGGAATTGAAATTTTATGACAACAAAATTAACGGAATATTTGAATTTTAAATAATCTAAGCCACACCTAACCTTAAAAATTCAAAATGTAACGGTTGAATTATTTAAAACAAATTAATACTTTGTAAAAAACATTAAGCCTTAAAATAATTCCATGTAGCTAATAAAAAATTAAATGCTTAAAGTGAATAACTTCTAACTATCTATATAACGAATATCCCAGCATATATCAATATAATTAACATTGAAAATTAACTTAATAAACGAAACCAGCACTCCCAATAGTAACAACAATGTCATGATTTAAGAAGCACATATTAATAAAATTTTATTGAATTTACGTCACATTATGCCTTTAGCTTTAAGTGCTTAAAGACATTTGCTTCAGATTGCACCAAGAAAGAAGAGAGAGAAAAATCTTTTCCTTTGAAAAAAAAAGTGAAGAAATCACGACAAACAAAATTATGCAATTTTTGCCTTTTAACGCTCTACAGCAAAAACATAAAACGTGTCGCTTTGCGCGATGTTAAGAGCGGGAAATATTTGCAGTGATCTTGAGACGGCATAAAAATGGCATTAGTTAAAGTTGAAAGTCCAGACACGATGCAAACACGCGAGAATCGACGAGATTTATAAGCAAGAAAGCGAAAGCATTTTCAAAGACTTACCTTGGGCTCCAAACACTTGATAGAACTGTGATAAATATGTGAGTATGCTCAATTTATCTGGAACTTCATAATCAACCATGTCCTGGGGATCCAACAAAGCAGGGATGTTCAAATATTCTTCGGCCACACGGAATGCAAGCTCATTGTTATGATAAATATTCTCTTTCTTCAATTCATCAAATTGTCTTTAAAAAAGAAGAATTAAAATCGGGGATGTTTAAACCAGAAATATAAAATTGAAAAATATTAAAATTAGGTTTCTTAATCAACTTGAGAAGTTTTTCTTTTCTTATTGAATAACAACAAGTAATCTTCCTGTGTTTATGCGCTTTATATTTTCATTATTCTGTATTTGTTGTTCTCTTTTCTTCTCGAAATTATTTTCGGGAAGAGACACAATGGAAATGAACAAAAAAGGGTCTCAAATCATTTTCATGTTTAACATACAATAATAATTCTATTCTTTTACAAAAAAAAATATAATTCAATTGAGCGTTTCTTGTTCCCATCAAGTTTCGTGATGAGATTCGACAAGATACATGGGAAGTCGAGGCTTGAAGCATCCACCAAACCCATTAAGTTTTATTTTATTTAATTTCTCACGAAAAAGCTTCTCTACCGCGCGAGATGACGGTTCTCTGTTTGAATATTATGAAAGGCTTTTGTCATTTAAACATCAACTTGAGGGAACCGAAATAAAACCACAGAAAAATCTATTAAGAGTTTTGTTATTTAATACTCTGCGATGATCATCGAAAGAGAAAAGTTTGCTCGTAAGACATTTAATAATACTTGAAAAGATCATCATTATGAGAGATGAGATGTGAATTACGAAACCAACAATCTCCAACATAAAAAAATGCGAAACATCAAAGAAGATCGCTTGTTGGGCTGTTGCACAAACAGAGAAGTGAAAAAAAGTCTTTTCTTCTTCTTTTTCTATGAATTAAGATTTGTAAACGATAAGAGAAGAAAAGATAAATTATGCACATATAGTAAGTGTTTCGCGAATCAAATTGGTTACTTTCGAATGTTTTAAAAGCGAGTTTAAACTTGAAACAGCTGACACAACAATAAATTATTTTAATGTGTTTGAAAAACAGCCACTAAACGCGACATGAAATCAACTAATGTTGCTAAATGACACAGTTTAACGTTTCGAGAACGAGAATGCAACAAAGCCAAGTGTTTTCAATTGCTTCACTATTATTAGGATTATGCAATGACTTTAAAGCGAGTTTTTAATTGAAGGAAGCCGTCATTAAACAATCACTTTAATTATTAAACACTTACATCAAATCTGGCATTTGCTTGAGTGATGAACATTTGCTGACCAAAGCACAAAACACCAATCCATTGCGCCAAGAAGTTGTCATGTTGTCGACTCTCACGTTATAACCTTCAACCATCCGACGACACCATAATTCCAATGCTTTTGTACCGCGTCTCTCGCCCATCTATGATGAAAAATAAAAAGACAAATATAAGTTTAATGAAATGAGAAAACAAGCGTTGAATGACAGGCAAATGAAGCAAACCACAAATGAAAGTGTGTTAAGAAGAGAAGCTTTTTTTAATTCAACATTTAACTTATTTATGCTTTCATTTCACCTCTTTTCCAACTCTTATCAGATGCAATCAACGACCAGTTGCTATGTAAATAATTGCAGTGATCATATGACTTGTAATCAAGTTTCTTTTCTCATTATTAAAATTATGAATCAAGATGGGAATGAGAGTGCAAGTCAGTAAAGATCATTTGTTACAGTTATGAAAGAATTTTCTAAAAACTTTTTAATGTTCAGTTTCAGTTTAATAAATCGAATGAATTACTGTCGAGGGCACACCGACCGACAACAAGTGACTTAACATTAAATAATGTACTGCCGTTCAATGCCACTCTCATAGGACTTTACCTCTGACACAATTAAGTAGCCCAACAAAAATAATTTTAAATCGTTAGAAGTGAATGAAGTCAAATGAATCAAAAAAATAAAATCACTTGCAATGTTGGTCTACTTTTCACCAAGAAAAAGTGCCAAAAAACGTAACAAGTTAAGCAGCAATCGACACGATCACTGATCAGTCTTTTTTAACATTTCCCACTTCTATATAAATCGATATAATCAATTTGTTTGTTGTTAGACTTTAATTTCTTGTTACGTGCTTCAATTCAACTCTTTGGCCGATTCAATGATGACCAGCGTTGAACATTCTGTTTACCTCCACCAATAAGTAGATTTTTGAATAGCAATTCTACTTGTTGCTGTTGTTATTGAGGTTTCAAAAGAAGGCTTAAGAGCTGCTTGTGGGATAAGAATCAAGTCTTGTAATTATTACTCATGATGATTGCGCGCTATTTAACTTCAATCGGCCGCTACTAAGCGATGCTGTTTGTTCTCCTTTCATTCTCACCACAAAACAATTTCCTAATCTCACTTAATCTTAATCTCTTCACACATGCTTTTGTGCCAATTCATTTGACAGCGTAGCTGATGATGAGGCGTAAGAAAACTTTAATTACAAGAAAGTCTGCGAATGAAGAATTGATGCACATAAACATCAAATGAGATGAAAGAATTGAGTTTCATCTCTTAAACAAGCTCTCGAATTGCATTGAACGCCCTGCGGTCATATCTGCGTTTTTATTACTTGGTCGTGCTGGTTAAAGAAAGAAGAACAAAGACCCGAAAAAAAGAGCCACAGAGAGAATACAAACAATTTTAATGATAACTTGAATAATAATAAACGATCTTTTTATTACATGAAACCAACAGCGTTGGTCAATTTTTCTTGTCGACTTTTTTTGATTTTCTTTCACTTTTTTTTTGTTATATCAAAAATGAGTTTGTTGGCTGCACCGTGTTGCTTGTTCTTTTCATCAAGTGAGTGTAAGTTGCATCAAAATATTTTGCTTTTGATTTCAATCTCAACTGGAATCGACAGTGTCTGGTAAATGTTATCGATTAACGCTCAATGTTGAATAATTTTCAGTTCAATAATTTTTTTTTGTAAATTCACGCCGCGTCTCTGTCTTAAAAACCACAATTCGTTCATGGATTCCTCGTTTTCAAGACATAAAATTTCTTTGATGTTTTTCGCATGAATTTCCAACCGATCTTATTTTTTTTGTTTCTTAAACTCTTCCCAATGTTTAATATCTCGATGGAAATCGAATTCACTTTCGGCAAAATCACGTCTTGCATAACCCATTGATATGCAAAAGAAACAAATCTGATTTCGCCTCTGGTTCTTTTCAATATCAATTCGTTATTTTTCACAAGACCACCGCGCGTCAATTTTTATCTCGTTCAATTCTCATTTTCTTCTTTACCAAGCCCAGTTTTTTGTTTCATTCGCTTGCTTGTTTTGGTGTTTAAGAATGTTTTGTAATCGGTATATGAACTGATGATTCTTCAAAAAATAATAATAATAATAATAATAATAAATAAATAAAGAATAAGAAACATTTCTTATGTTTCGGTTTCGTGTTTCAAGACCCGTCGAATTATTATTATGCATCGCTTTTGACTTTTGATTCTTTTTCCTTTTGGGAAGAACTTGATTTGTTTTGATGCTATTTTTTTAATTCAGTTTTCAGTTCTTATTCTCAAACGCGCGTTTAAAAGTTGTTATTATTGAGAATCAGTTTTGTTTTCATCTCTCGAACATCTCAAACGCGTCGGATTTATTGTAATGATCAGCGGCTCTAAGCGGAACACGAAACAATTGTTAGCGCCAGAATCGAATCAAGAATGATGAGCGGAGGATTGCGAAGATGATCGTGATGGAAGAGAAGTAAATTATAGGCTATCATTCAATAGCAGAAAATAAGGGGAGAGAAGAAGAGATGAAAAAACGTCCTCTAATCACCTCAACAAAAGCGCCACATCACATTTTAATTCATGGCAAATGATGGGAGATGCATTTATCAAAACATGATGGGTAAGATCTTAAGTCGAGGCCGCCGTAACTCTTTCATTTCCAGACTCATGTGCCTTCTGGCTTGTAAACAGAAAAAAATAAATTCGTTTGGTTCAAAGCCCTTGAACTGAACAATTGCAATAAATTTCATGAGGCAATCGAGAAGGTTTTGCAGGAGCTCGGCTTGGGTAAGCTAATTCAAATGAGCCCGTGAACTTTCCAATTAAATGTCATTGATCATTCTACTTATGAACAAGCAGCGCTCATGATTTAGTTACAAGTCTTTACAACAATTTTTTATGTATGCAAATATTGAAATTTTTGGCTTCGAGTGAATTAAGAGAAGGAGATATAAAAGGAAAGAGAGAGAGAAACCACACCTTATCCATTAAACTTGATAATTTATGGAGCTAGCAATTTGCTGATTATTTTCGATATTTTCACTTTTGTTTTCTCCACCGGACCTCCGCTCTTCGAACAGCATGGCTAGAAAAGGGAGAAAAGCATCAAATCGAAATGATTTTTTATGTAAATTTAAAGCGACAAGTTCAATATTCAATATCAAGCGAATGTCGAAAAATGTGTCTCGATCGTTTCTTTTTTTTATGAAATCAAATCACGTTTTGTTTCGATTTTCTTTTTTTTATTTGTTGTCTAAATTGCGTTAACTGAATTTATGTTGATGTGATTTCTTTCAACAGATTTTCCGTGGTTTAATAAAATATTAAATCGTTAGGAAGACAATAAACGATGACATTGAACGAACCTGTCGCGACGACACTATGAAAGTTTTTTTTTATTTTCAAGTTTCACTCAAATGGTGATTTAGAAGAGTTGAATGGAATCAAACGACATTCAACATTTTTAAAAGTTCTAGAAAACTTCTATTTGGTGGAAGAATGTGGTTTATGAACATTTACATAAGTATTCATAGCTGAAGTGATCTTCTTTGGTTGTTCAAATATTTTAAGAACAAAACAAAACGTCCGAAAGAAAAACTTTCTTTTAGAAGATCAAATTACCGAGTACTTCAACAAACAACAATTATTGACACTTCAACTGGTGCTTTTAAAGATTCCACAAACAGATTAGACATTTATATTCTCTTCTCAATCAACAAAGAAAATAAGTTTTTAAGTCTCGTATTTCTTATGCCGTCAGCCTCGAGCTTCACAACAAAATTTCCTTTTATCAGCCAACTAACGACAATTTATGACTATGAAGCGATTTCTGTCGCGTCTTGAGGCCATTAATTCATCCATATATTGAGATTCTTCAATTGTTATGTTGATTCACTTCTCTTTAGATATTCTACATCTCGTCTCTAGATCCATTTCAGAAGCGTCGTCGTAAATATCCATCGGCCGATCGACTTAGTTCTATTCGAGAGGGCACTTCGAGATCGCCGCTTTGTGTGTGTGTTGATTGCTTTTATTTACAAGACAAAATCAGCTCAAAGCACACTGAATACTAACGATCTGCCTTTCCTTGCTTTTGCTTTTGATTATTAATTAATGCAACAGCAGCAAACAATTTATTATGTGAGTGAGTGCCTAGATTTTCAATTCCATTTCAAACTGAAGCTCGTTTCGCTTCCACAAAGTCAAATGATAAAACTTTCATCAATCTCTCGAACACTTTATTGATATTTAATTCAAATTTATTATTCTTCCCGGATTTGTTTCTCTTTTGCCCTTTTTTTCCATCATCTTCTTCTAAAGACCTTTATGGAGTTGTGGCGAACGTTTCAAAGTCATTTAGACATTTAATGATGGATATCTAATAATGTGATTCATTTTCATTTCTTTCTCTCCATTTCTCTCTCTCAATGCCCTCCTAAACTCTTTTATTACTTTATGTTCCAGCTGAAAACCTGTTTCGTAATTCTTTTTTCTGTTGTTGTCGTCGTTGTCGGTTTAATATCTGTTTTCGTTTTAATTTCGTCGTCTTTTTATTTCATTTCTTATCCGCGCATTCATAAGTCTAATATACATAAATTAAATATTTGTTTCTATTTATTTTAGTTTCTTTCTCTTCCTGATGCTTTGTCTACCAAACACGAGAATCCAAAAGACTCTTTCGTCTTTCCCGTGTTTGTCAGTGAAATGCTTGAAACCGTCAGGGAGAAATGTGAGACTTTCTTTTTTTCTTCTGTTGATGTTGTTGCTATGTTTATGACTTTATATAACATTTTTATTTGCGATTATTTATTTTCGGCAATCGCAAACGATCGGTGATTAAGAAGTCAAATATTTTTATTTGGTCGAAGTTTTTTTTGTTTCTTTTTTATGCCACTAACTCTCACCGTCGTGTGAAACGACCATAGAGACCTCGAACGGAACGTCATAAATATATTCGCTCCACATTATCATCATCAGAATATGAGGAAGGCGCATTCAGCATTCAGAATAACATTCACGTTTCTGTGCCAATTTGAAGTTGACCATGCGGGACCCCGTGCATGTACAGCTGAGCGAATTTTGATCTCATTTCCTTCCCATGCTTTGTAATAACAATTCTTTACATACATGCCTAATTATATGCTGACGCACAATCATCAGACAAGGCATTTAGAGAAATATTCTGTTGGCACAGATCGCAAACAAACGCGGAAAAAACTTTTCATTATAAGTATATAAAAAAGCTTTTTTTTCGTTCTACTCTTTTGAGCAAAAACAATGTGCAATGACGATTGAAATTGTACAAATAACAACAGCACACGTTGCACTACCAAGTCAACAAGTCACAATTTGCTTCGAATTGTTGAAGTTAAAAAAGAATGGAGAACTAGCAATTTTCATTTTGCACGCGGAGAAACGAAATTGCTCCACAAGCACTGATCGCTTAATTGCTGCTTCGAGAGCATAAGGTATGCATGTCTATTTGTGATCAACAACAACAATATTGAAGTCAAATAAATGTTAATTCGAATTAAGAGTCAATGAATGGTTGGTTCTTGTGAGAATTTTTCTTATTTCTTTTGTCATTCACTCAATTTAAAGTCGCACTGACCATTGTGACAAATGAGAAAATGCAATAAGCATGTTCCATGAGAAAGACAGACAACGAATGAAATGTCTTCAATTTTAAGTCGATTGTAATATTATGCTAATAGGATTAAGTGTTGTATATGCTAATCACACTCTGTGTAAACGGCCATAAAACACCCGAAACAGAGAATGGAACCTGAGCAAGCTTGTAACACAATACTTGCAGTCTTAAATCTATTCAAAATCTAAACTCTCTTGCATGGGAAACTTGAGACTTAAAGAAAGAAATGGAGAAGAAATCAAAAACCAGTAACACCAAATAACAACAAAACATAATTAATCGAGATTCGATTTGGACGCACATTCAACAAGGGAAAAACTCGAAGGTTGTGTGAGATGTTTAACAACTTCTCAAGGAGGAAAAAGTTCAAAGAGATATTTTCAACTCTTAACAGATTATAATAAAGTTTATAAAAAAAAACATAGAAGGAGAAGAGAATCATTAATTAAGGTCTTTTACTGATTTGATTGGAATTTTTTTTTTTCTTTTTCGATTCCCTTTTCGTCTTTCTGCGGATCGAGTAAAAATGAAAGAAGCGACGGCGATAACTAAGAAATTGATGACGATAATTAAATAGTAACAAAATTAAAGGAAAATGAAATTCTGAAAGAAGCGAGTTGTGACATGCAAATGTAGATCGTTTCAACACGTGATTTAGGTTTGTATTCGCTTGTCAAAATGTGAATTATCAGAAAATAGCTTAAAAGTTTCACGAAATGAAAAACCATTAAACATTAAAGTGAAACGTCAACAACTTAAGACATGATTGACGACTGATAAGCGTTCCTTACTTTTACCTAGACTTTTACGACTTTAAATATGTCTACGACATCGTTAAGACCAGCACTTTTGTGTTGTTGTTGAAAATGTTTATAGCATTTTAGACAAACCAATTCATTCGTCTTCTCTTCTTCTTCATGTTTCTTCTAAGTATCATTTTCATGCATTTGACATCATTTTTTACCAACATTTCCTTGAAATTTCAAAAGAAATTTTTAATAATGCGCCACAAAGCTAATTTACATGACACTTAACGGCTCTCGTTTTGAATAAGAGATGTAAAATATTACAAGACACTTTAATTACCACCAGCTACTTAGCATTGGCTTTTCTCACAAACCACCTTGTGAATATCGAGCTGAAGCTCGTACTTCATAATTTACGGTTTTCTTTCATTTCAACTTTCTATCGTCATCGCAGCTAAATGCGTTATCGTTGTCTCTTTAAACACTAACGACACTTTCCTAACTCAATTCATCATTTGATATCATAAAGCAAAGTTTGTTGGCGTTTAAAATTAATTATTTGCCATCCGTGATGTGCCATAAGTTGAGTTTTTAGAACGCAACAGCCATGTTTGGCTAATTCATATTTTTTTGTCTTTGAAATTGAAAGAAACCCCAAAAGACATATTTCTGGGTGTCGGTAGCTGATTGTTTGTGAAATGTTGATGATGAATGAACAACAGTTATTGGCGTGAGCATGGGCCGTATGTGTGTGCCTATGCAATTACTTAGCGACCTTCAAACAATAAAATATTTTCATAGTCGGCAGCACTAGAAAAAACATTTAACAATATTTTTTCTCTGTTTTTTTGCTTCAATATGATTGGCCTCAACACTGAATAAAAAAATCTGTTTATGGGCTTCATGTGAATCGGAATCGATGGCAAAGTCGAGTTAAGCGAGAAATATTGTAATAAATTACAACATTGCCAGATTTGGATGAAATTAATTAAATTAAAAACTTCTCGGAACAAAGAAACTGCGAATGGTTGAACGAATGAAAAATGATTTCGCATGTTTTGATGGCTTTCAAAAGAAACGTTGACATCATCGAGCTGAGTCGATTGCGCTCACTCACATCATAGTCCAATGTCCGACATTTGAATTAAGCCACCGAACTATGAACTCTCGCAATAATTTTATTTTACACCCACGGCGAGAGTTGTCGCTTTGCTTTCAGTGCTTTAATTGAGCAACAGACGGACGGGAGAATGAGCAGACAGATTTCAAGAAATTGTTTACTAAAATGGAATTTCCGTAGTTGGCAAGACCGTTTAGAGTGAAGAATGTAAACAGCAAAAGCTTATAAGCAAGAGAAATGTTTTTTTCCTTTCATTCTTTATTATTTTTATTTCATGAGAAATGCGAGGGAAGTCAACACTAATTATTACAATTTTATTTTCAATAATCTATGCGTCGTATCTAATTGCGTCGTAAAATCTCGTCACGACAATTTTGTGTGCTAAAAAAATTGGCTGATTATTGAAAACGTTGAGAGTCATCTTGTATAATTGATTAGCTAAATAGTTTTAACAAGGTAAATAATAATTCTGTGACTCAAAAGATTTCCTGAATTTCAACATTCAATTGTCACATTTTTTTCTTCTTTCTTCTTGTTGATGATAAGTGTTGAGATTATTCATGAAATCTTCATGATAAGATAAAAAAGAAAATCACAACGTTGTGACTCTTGATTTTTAATTGCAGTTCATTATCAGTTGCTTTGAGTTTAAAACGATTATCAACTTCAGCTATCGTCGCTCGAAGTTTTTATGACCGTCACTTGAATATTAAATCGTGTCGTAAAATTGAAAAGTTGTCGTCACCCGTTCTTATTAGAAACTACAACTGAATAGTAGCAGCTTGAATTTTCAAAAAATAAATAAAAAAAAAAACAAAAACAGTTTCTCAAATAGGCCAGGTCAAGGCAATAAATTCAAATGAAAAAGAAAACTTGTTCATCGAACAATTTCATTCATTCGATCGCTCATTAGTCGTTTTGTGTAACAATTTATATTTTTGTCTTTCAATCAAAACAACATGAACCAACTATGATGGTAATTAACTCTGCATTTAGAATCGTAAAATGTCGCTTAAAGGGAATTGTAAGTTAATAATGTCAATACTTAAGGCATTTCGATGTAAATCGAGATTAAATTTCCATTTCAAATGACAAACATTCTTTCATTTCTCACTCGATTGAAATTGGTCTCAAAATGCCATTGCCACAATCAACGACGTCAATCATAGACCACCCCCACAAGATATTCCAAAGATGCTTCGAAAGTAAAATAAATAAACTAAAAGCTTAATAACGTCCCCTAAAAACATTCGAAGAGGAAAAAAGACTTAAAAGCTAATAAAACTACGGCCGATCGTCATAGGAGACTTAGCAATAAAAAAAATTCACAGCGATTGTGAAAACAAGAAACCACCTGTGTGTGATTTTTTCTAATTTTTGTTATTTCTTCTGTTTCCACTTATTCAAAACGTGTGTTTACTCGCCTTAGAAATATAGAAATTCAATAATTGCTTAAAGATCTTTTCAATTTTTATCGCAAGACTTGCCTATTTGAAGTGAAAAATCAATTACAAAATGCGGATTAATAAAATTGAATTAAACGTTCATTGTTTAATGAAACGATCAGAGTTGTGCAAGCGGTGAGATTGCGTTATGAGAACAATTGGAAAACAAAAGTGAAGCTTATAATCGGCGGTTTCTGATCTCAGCGGCAAGCAAATTGGAGAAACAAATTGATTTATAATTCATAATTAAACACTTACGATTTTTGATTTCGTTCTACCACAAAAACACTGAACACGTTCAATTGAAAGCGATTTTGATCTTCTTTTATTTTGTGTCTTCTTCTTTTTGTTCGATGAGTTATTTCAGTCGAGGCATAAACAGATTCAGATGCTTAAATTGCTTTGTAATTGAACCATAAACAAGACGTGTAATTCTTTTTTTTTATTTATCACTTTGTGTTTTTGCTTACTTCACGTATTAATTTTTTTTTTGAAACTATTGTCGTCACACACGGCAATTTTTTTTAAACTTTTTTTTTGTTTTGGGAACAAATAACGGCACATGTATTTATATTTACTTATATTTTTTGCATTAAATTTCTTTTCTGTGCGTCGTGAATGTTCTTTCTTATTTTGTCTCAGAGGGCAACTCAATATGCAGTTCTCAAATGAATGAATAAAATGTTTTTCTCTTTTATTTATCAATTACTGAAAATTGCTTTCTTCTTACACACGACACATGTTTTAATGCTGATAATAAAATTTCATCATATCAGAAACAGCTCCTAAAGTTTACAATTCTTATGATAAGCAATTGTTTCGCTCTTGATGAGTAATCAACAGGTTTCAATATTAAAAAATTGAAAAGAAAAATAAAACAGAAAACTGAAATGCAGCTTATCTCGTAAGCGTTCAAAATACTTCTGATGGATAAAATACAAAACACAAAACATATGAACGAGAGTGGCGAATGAGCTGAGAAAACAAATGTGAGAAAAAGAGAGAAAAAACGCGTTTTGCTTCTCTCTTTAACTGGCAATGCTGGCAATATTTGCAGGTTTTGACAGATTTTCATTATGATTTTGTTTTGATTAACTTGAGAAATTTATTCAATTGTTGGAATAGATTTACGCGTTACTGATAACTCCAGTAATTAACACAGTTTCTCTCAATTGTTAATAATGTAAAAGAGCTTGAACTCCAATCTCCGAAGTAATAATGCTGTCAAGTGATGTTACAACAGGAATCAGAATGAGAATCATTAAATCAATTGTTATTGCCTTCAGAACTATTTGTTTTATATTTTAACTAATTTCAATAACATTTAACTCATCGCAATAATCACCGAGAAAAACTTGCAGAGTTTAATGATCTGAATTGAATTGATGATGCTCATAAATATCATTACGTATTCACCTTGGAAAGCAATCATAATAAAAAAGTACAAACTAGGTAGATTCTAAACATAAAAATTACATAAAAGTTCATACAATTGCCTTTTAGAATCTCATTGAAATAATTACTTTGCAATGATTAGAGATGAAATAATTATTAACGATCATTAAAAATTATGAATATTTACAATTTAAAAATGAGCTTTTCATAAAAGCTCATCGATCGTCTACACGTAGGGAAGTGAATCGGTTTTGAATTTCGAAATATTTTTTAAATTTAAAAAAGACGCTAAAAAATATTTTTATTTGTTGAGAGGATCAGTAGAAACTTTTGCACCTTAAAACAGGAATAAATGAAGATAAATGTTAGATTTCGACAGATATTTTATTTAAAACATGATTTTATTGAATTATTCATCTTTTGGAAAAGTAAATGAAAAAGTTATTCAACATTTTAATTACTAATTTGTTTAGAAGAATATGGCTTGTGAAATTAATTCACTTAAATATGATTGTATTTTAATGTGTTTGTCAAAAATTTTCAGTCTCCTTATAAACTATCAGTGTGATTAAGTGCAATCAGATCGTCGTGAAGTTGAAACTCTTCCAAGTTCCAAGTTAATGGTAGTCAAGAGTGGATGATAACCACAGCCGCATCGATTACGGAAGTCATCGAGATCAAGCGCCCTATAAAAATTAAAAATGTATTTAAATACACAGTCAACAATGAATAAACATTTCTTACCAAATCATGGCACCGCCGAGTCCCAAATCTTTGACGAATTTTGTTTTGCGTCTGATGTCTTCAACATCATCATAAGAAACCCATTGACGATCTTTATAAGCATATGGTCCTATTCTTCCTTCCGGATCTCTAACAACTGTCCATCCTCCACGATTTACTCGATCACAGATTTCATAGAAAGCCAAGAAGCCAGCTGCCCTTGTGAATTCACCAGCTTGACCTGGTCCAGGAGCGATTGCATTCAATCCATTATTACTGACTTTTTCAAGTGCGAATGATTGACCATACATTGGCATTCCCATGACCAGTTTCTTAGGTGGTGCTCCCTTGGCAATCCAGTAATGAATTGAGAAGTTTCCATTGAATGTTGTCTCCCAATCTTCTGGGTGTTCATAAAGTGGAGCGACGTGGCCAGTCTTCTTGTCCCACTGTCCATGATAATCGTAACACATCACAGCAATCCAATCGAAATATCTTGATATCTTCGGAATGTCATAACCAGCATCGATGACCTTCTTGCTTGGCGAAACTGCAGCTGAGAGAAGTAAACCTTCTGGTTTGAATGCTTTCGAAAGTTCTTCGACGAATTTAGCGAAATATTCTTTTTCATCGGCCTTTCCTTTCTCACAATCGACTTGCCAGCACACTGGATACTCCCAATCAAGATCCAAACCTTCAAATCCGTATTTCTTAATAAACTCAATAACATGCTTGATGAATCGAGCACGAGCTGCAGCGTCTCTAACAAGTCTGCTGTATTTATCACCAAGTGAATCGTTCCAACCACCAATAGCAAGAGTAACTTTGATGCCTTTCGATTTAAATTCTGCAACTTTCTCATAAAATTTATTGTCGATATCAGCCCACGAATCATGAGTTCTTATTGTGAGAGTTTCTCGATTAAGAACAGCGAAACCATACACGATGTGAGTGCAAAGATTTGAGTCAATATGATCGGGTTTGTACTTTCCGACTCCAGGTCGATACCAAGCCCAATTTGTGAAGTAACAAACCATTTTGTACTCTTCATTTCCAGTTAAGATCACAGGAGTTTCATCAACTGTTGGACGTTTTGTTGGTCTTGGAGTTGTGAGCGTTGGTGCTGTCACTCTCACCGTAGTTGGTGTGGAATATGTTGGACGAGCTGTGGCTCTTGATGTTGTTGGTCGATGTGTTGATGGCCTTTGATTTTCATAATTAATGTCATTGTCATCATCATCGACTACATTATTCGAATTAGCACAGTCTGTGTTTGATGGCCAATCACATTTGTCTTTATTCCAATACAATGCTGGTGGACAACTGCAAATAAAATAAAATCAAATTTGAATATTTAATAAAGATAAATTAAAATTTCACCTCATTTCAAGAAGTGTTCCATGATCGCATTGATAATATTTATTGCAGTCTGTTGAATGTGGAATGAAATTTCGACCTCCATCACACGATCGTTCATCATCAAACAAGATGTCAGGAATTTCATCTTCAACCTGTGGAATCATCGTTGTCGTCGTTGTCTTTCTTGGTCGAGTTATTGTGATACGCTTCGTTGTTGTTTCATCGTACAATGGCTTCCTTGTTGTCGATTCCATTGGTGGTTTGAAAGCTTTTCTACTTTCAAGTACGCAATTATTGTGTGGGCCTGGATAATTGCGTAAAACTCTGTTGATTGTTCTCAGCAAAGGATATTCTTCACAATTACAAGTGTTCTTGAAATCATCCAAATCAAGTGCCCTAAAAACAACACAAAATCATTTTTAATTTCATTTACTAAGAGGAAGTGAAAATTGTTACCAAATCATTGCACCACCAAGTCGTAAAGATTTAACAAACTCGCTCTTATGACGGATCATTGACGCATCATCGAACGACACCCATTGATCACCTTTATAAGCAAAAGGTCCGATTCGTCCTCTCATATCTCTTACAACTGTCCACTTCTTCTCTCTTATGTTTTGGCAAATCTGAAATGATTAAAACGTTTTTGAAAAATGTTTTTTTAAAGATGAGGAATGTAATAATCACCTCGTAGTAAGACAAGAAACCACGAGCTCTTGTTTGTGACCCAGCTTCACCACCGCCATAAGTCAAACTGTTCAAAGTTGGTTGACCTCTGTCAGCAAGTGAGAACGATTGACCATACATTGGCATTCCCATGATGAGTTTCCTTGGATCGGCTCCTTTTTCAATCCAATAATTGATTGAAAAGTTCGCATTGAAAGTCTTTTCCCAATCTTCTGGATGTGTGTACATTGGTGCGACGTGTCCAGTCTTCTTGTCCCACTGTCCATGATAATCATAAGCCATAACAGCAATCCAATCGAAATATCTTGAAATCTTGGGAATGTCATAACCAGCATCGATGACTCTCTTAGCAGGTGACACTGCAGAAGAAAGCAAAAGTCCACGTGGCTTGAATGCCCTCGAAAGTTCTTCAACAAACGTCGCGAAATATTCTTTCTCATCTGCCTTTCCTTTCTCGCATTCGACTTGCCAACACACTGGATACTCCCAATCAAGATCCAAACCTTCAAATCCGTACTTTTCAATGAACTCAATAACATTTTTGATGAATCGAGCACGAGCTGCAGCGTCTCTAACAAGTCTGCTGTATTTATCACCAGCTGAGTCGTTCCAACCGCCAATGGCGACAGTGACTTTAACACCTCGTTGCTTATACTCAACAACACGTTCATAAAATCTGTTGTCAATGTCAGCCCATGAATCGTGCGGTTTAATCGTGAGACTATCTCGATTGAGAACAGCGAAACCATAAACGATGTGCGTGCAAAGTTCTGGATCAACGTCTTCGGGCACAAACTTTCCAATTCCTGGTCGATACCAAGCCCAGTTTGTGAAGTAACAAACAACTTTAAAGTCCAACTTTTCATCGAGATCATCTTCAATTTCATTTTCATCTTCATCGTCTTCATCTTCATCATCTTCGTCTTCGTCTTCTTCATCTTGAACATTTTGTTCAATTTCATCATTTGGCTCGGGTTGATTTGGTCGATCTTCATTTTCAGATTCTTCTGGTTGTTCAATTGGAGTTTCGGAAGATTCAGGCGTTTCTGCAGCTGGTGCTGTTGAAAATAATTTAGAAATTAAAAATATTTCAAGAAGATTTTAATGAAGAACTTACATTCAACTTCCTCATCGTCTTCATTTTGCAACTCAGCGTGAATTATTTTAAGCAATGGATGAGTTCCTTGGCCACATCGGTTCTTAAAGTCATCCAAATCCAATGCCCTGTTAATTATAATAAAATTAGTTGAAAAAAAGTGAATGAAGATTGAAACTTACCAAACCATTCCACCGCCAATACCAAGTTCTTTCACGAATTTAGTCTTTCTTCGAAGTATTGCTTGGTCATCAAATGAAACCCATTGATTGCCTTTGTAAGCATATGGACCAATTCTTCCCTGTGGATCTTTAACCACTGTCCATCCTTTGTTAAGAATTCGATCACAGATTTCGTAATAAGCTAAGAAACCAGCTGCACGTGTGAACTCTCCAGCTGTTCCAGGTCCAGGTGCCTTCGCATTAAGTCCATTGTTTTTAGCATCAGCTAAAGTAAACGACTGTCCATACAAAGGCATACCCATGACAAGCTTGTCTGGTGCTGCACCGAGTTTAATCCAATACCGCATTGTATATTCCTGTGAAATCATCAATTAAGAAAGTTTGATAATTAGTTTAAAATTTTTCATACCGAATTAAAGTAGTCAACATCATCATCTGGATGATAATAAAGTGGAGCGACGTGGCCAGTCTTCTTGTCCCACTGACCATGATAATCGTAACACATCACAGCAATCCAATCGAAATACTTCGAAAGTGTTGGAACATCATAACCAGCATCGATGACAGTTTTACTTGGCGAAACTGCTGATGAGAGCAGCAAACCACGTGGCTTGAAAGCTTCTGAAAGTTCACGCACAAACGCTGCAAAATGTTGCTTCTCGTCAGGTTTTCCCTTCTTGCAATCAACTTGCCAACACACTGGATATTCCCAATCAAGATCCAAACCTATGCAAATTAAAACGATGTGAAATGACGATCGAAGAAAGTTTAAATTAATAAAATTCTCACCTTCAAATCCATATTTTTCCAAGAATTCAACAGCATGACGAATGAATCGAGCACGAGCCGTCGGATTTCTCACAAGTCTGCTGTATTTATCACCAGCTGAATCATTCCAACCACCAATAGCTAAAGTTACTTTCACACCTTTGTTCTTGAATTCAACGACACGTTCATAAAATTTATTGTCGATGTCAGCCCATGAATCGTGAGTTTTGATTGTCAGTTCATCATAATTGAGAACTGCAAAGCCATAAACGATGTGCGTGCAAAGATTCTCATCGATGTTGTCAGGTAAATATTTGCCGAGTCCTGGTCGATACCAAGCCCAATTGGTGAAGTAGCAGACAAGCTTGTAAGGTCCATTCAATGGTTGAACATGTTCAGCTACAGGAATTGTCTCAAAGTTAGCAGACATTGGACGTTTTGTCGGTTTCATTGTTGTTGTTGATGAAGGCTGATAAACGCCTTGATCGAATTCAAAATCAACTTGATTGTTGTCTTCATTCTGACTTACAGCGCCGTTTTCTTCATCTCCACCTGCTTCTTCACTTAAATCGTTAGAATCCAAGCTTGGATCATTCTGACAATCAACTTGATTCGGCCAGTTGCAAACACTTCTTTCCATGTCAAAGTACAAACCGTCGACACATTCACGCACGATTAAATGTTCATGAAGACATTCCAAATATTTTACACACTGTCCAGGATAACGAACAAATGTCACGCCTTCACACACATCACCTTCTGATGCTTTCAACAAAGCAGCACTGAAGAATCCCGACTTCAAATATTGACCATGTAAAAGTTTCAAATATTTCTTCTTCGAAACGCATTTGACGTTCTCTTCATAGTCACAAAACTTTTCTTTCTGACTGAATTGTGTTCCTTCAGGACATTTGCCTGGTGTTCGTCTGCCATGATTACAAACATAATATTTCGTGCAATCTTTATGTGGATAATATTCGCCATTTACACACGGAGTTGTTGGCTTCTTGTTTGATCGTTTTGTTGTCGTCGTAATGTAAGACGTCGTTGAATCATAATAATAAGTCGGACGGGCAGTGGTGGTTCTTCTTCTGGTTGTTGTTTCACTGTAGTATGTGGGACGGGCAGTGGTGGTTCTTCTCCTGGTTGTTGTTTCTGGTAGTCTTGTGGTTGTTGGTTCGTCATATAAAGTTGTCGTGTATCTTCTAGTTGTTGTCGATCTCCTAGTCGTTGTTGATCTTCTAGTCGTTGTTTGAGGTCTCCTTGTGGTTACCACTGGTTCATCATTGAGAGTACCAGAAGTACATTGTGCAGATGATGGCCAATCACAAATATTATGTTGTGCATTCCAATGAAGACCTGCTGCACAGTATTGTGTTGACAAAGCACCATTGAGACAAAGCAAATATGCACTACACTGTGTAGGATGTGCTTTGTACTCTCCAGGTGAACAAGGACCAGCAACAATTACTGGCATGACGTTGACAGGGACTGGAACTGTCGTATCTTCTTCATAATAATGTTGAGTTGTTGAAGCTGGCGTTGTTTGACGTCGAGTGGTAGTTCGACGAGTTGGTCTTTGTGTGGATGTTGTTGATTGAGACCACCAAGATGTTGATGACGTTGTTGGTTGTGTCCACCAATTGGTAGTGGAAGTTGATTGTGGAGTGTATTGTTGTTCATTTTGTGGAATGCCAGCAGCTCCTGTGTCTACTGTGGCGACCATTAATGGTGGCTTGGGTGTTGCTGGTGTTTGTGGTCGATCACAATTATTGTTGGAAGGTACTGGCGTGTCCAAACGACCAAACACTCTATTGACGGCCTTCAAAAGTGGGAAAGTTTCAGAACAACAGCGATTTGAAAAGTCATCCAAGTCAACTGTCCAAGCGACTACTCCACCAAAACCTGAACTGACGACGTATCTTGTCTTCATTGTCACTGAATCAACATCGTCATATCCAACCCATTGATTCTTATTTGTTGCATAAGGCCCCGACTTACTCATTGGATCTGTTCCCATTCTCCATCCCGGTCGTCTTAATCGATTACAAATTTCATAATAAGCCAACATTCCAGGTTGATTCGTCATCTCTCCAGGTTCACCAGGACCATCAGCTTGACTGTTAAATCCTTGACCGTTTTGTGATTTTGAAAGTGTGTAAGTTTGACCATAAAATGGAACACCCACAATTAATTTCTTCTTATCAGCTCCCAACTTAACGAGAAGTTTAAGTGCGTAGTCAGTGTTGTATTGTGGATATTTGTCTTTATCATCGCCGTACAATGGACTGGATATAAATTAAAGTTTTAATAAATAATTCAAGTATGGGTTGATGAAGAACTCACCTGACATGCCCCGTCATTCTCTCCCATGATCCATGATAATCGTAAGTCATGACAGTCATAAATGTTGCGTATTTAGAAATGACTGGAACGTCGTAAGCTCTCGTGATGATTTCTTTGTAACCAGAAAGTGAGAAACTCAACAAGAGACCATAAGGTTGGAAAGCTTTATGCAATTCTTGAATGAATTTTGTGAAGTCTTCTTTGTCAGTTGGTGGACCAGCTCGACAATCACTTTGCCAGCAAACTGGATAATTCCAGTCAACATGAAGACCTGAGAATCCATATTGGCGCATGAAAATAATCGCACGACTGACAAAGTTCTGACGTTTCCTTGAATCAGATACAAGTCGAGTGTACTTGTCACCGCTTGAATCTGTCCAACCACCCAGACCGATAAGAACGGGAACTGATTTATCCAAATTAATAGTTCGAGAATAAAGTTGATTCTCGATGTCACCCCATGGATCAAATTCTCTCATCTCAAGTGTGTCTGGTTCGAGTGTTGCAAACGAGTAAATAATATGCGTGCAAAGCTTTGAATCAAGATTTTCTGGAACGAACTTTCCTTCATCCTTTCGATAGAAAGACCAGTTGGTGATATGACAAACAACTTTATGACTTGAAGCTCTCGATGATGAAGCTTTTAATTTTTGAGTTTTATTCTGTTCTCGTTCCTTTTGTAGTCGTTCGTAAGTTTGTGGATCGACGAGTTGTTGGTATGGCGAACCATTTCGAAACGATTGTGGATGTTTCGTGTCGATGTAAGAAGGAAGAACATAAGCTCCAAATGTCATATTTCTAGCTTGACGACTACGACTTGGTGTAACGATCGCCATGAATCTTTCTTTCTGTGTAATAACTCGCGAATAAGTTTCCTGATCGTCGAGTGGATTGTGTTCAACAGCTGATCTTAATGGTTGGTAATATGAAACGCTGAATGTGATAGAAAAAGAATGAAATAAAAGAGATTTACTATCTGAAAGGTTGAATGTCCGCTTACATTGTTGCTGGGATGCTTTCAACGGCTGCTCTCGAGAATTGCGTATCTTCTTCCTGATCACCCATCCCATCTCGTAAGCTTCCTTTCGTCTCATCGTCTAACGGTACGTGTTCAACAGAACCGCGAAAAAATGTGGGTTTATTGTACTCAACATCAACAAATCTGTGTGGACCGGCAGATATTGAAAATATTTGAATGAAAAGCAACTGTAAAGAGAAAGAAAAAGTTTGCCGATATTTCGGCATTTCTTGTAAATAAATTATGCGAAACGTAATCTTGAGGATTATAAAAACATTTTTATTTCGTTCTTTACAACTCAACGAATAAGGTGAAGAAGAAATGTTAAGAATATGAATATTAAGTAGCGAAATCTTTTCGCTTTCAACTTACCAATCCTGATATTTTGTTTATCAACATTTTTTGTTTCTCCCGCATCGGATTTCAATTCATTTAGAAGAAATCTGCAAACAAATATTAATGAGAATAAGATAAAAATCGGATCGATTTATTTTATTTCTTTTTAAAAAGAATATTCTTGTGAGTTTTTTGGCTTTAAGTTCAGGGATTCGAACGACGGGAAATTTACGTCTTTTAAGTTGTGAATGCTTCAGCGAGAAGTTCTTTAACAACTGAAGTCATCTACAAAAATATTCAACTTGATACATTTTTCGCAATCACCCCAAACCATTTAAACAACATTAAAGTCGAAGTATCAGCAAATTATGACCCGCGAAATAATGATAAGCCATAAAATTTCGCTAAATATTTGTTTTTCTTATGAACTTCTTTTTATTTTCATCGCATCTTTGAACGTTCAACAAGATTGTATAAACTCAAGAATTTCGTTTTGGAGTGGCCAAATTACGGTTATATTTACGACCGAAAATTAATCCTTGATCTTGGTCATGGTGCTGTTTTCGATATTTTAGAAGGTGCAATGAACTTTTAATGTTCACATTAACTTCTTTCTCATCGTTTTGGTAGAAATTCTTTCTCAATTCTTGTTATGCAAATATTTCCATCCATATTCAGGGATTATTTTTAAATGACGTCAAGTGATAAGCTTCTTATTTATTCCACCCCATGACTTCATAAAAAATAAATACAAAGTAATGAATAATCCAGATTTGTGTTCTTTCATTTTTCTGCTTTTTCCGCTGACATATACTACAGATATGATTCATTTTATTTGTAATCCATAAGTACGACAACACGCGCCTATAAGTAAACTAGAAATATCTTAAGAATGAGAAAGAACTCTTCATTGCTGGTTCTGAATTTAAAATGAGTTTCGATACTTTAACCGTTAATAGAAATTGTCTTTGGAATATTTTGCGTAAGTGGATAATTGAAATGACTTTGAACTATTTTTCTATTTGATTTCAGATCATGAAAGGTAAATAGTTGAAGCACTTTAACATATTTCTGTACGTTTAAGTTAATTATATTCAGAAATTCACAAAACTTTTCTATTCCTTTACTAAAATCTTCAACTTTGTACAAAATTCTTCTCAAAATTTCACCTTGGAGTATAAAAAATTCGCTGCAAAAGTTCAATAATCTCCAAAATTTCACAGTTAAATATCTTGAAATTCTGCGAATATCAAATAACACCAAAGTCATAAATAATCCTCGGCCAAAAAGTATAATCCAAAAGCAGGTTCTCGCAGGTTCTTTCTTTCTTTCACAATTTCACTTATTTTCTCTTTCCCGATTTCTTCACTTTCCGAAATTCAACGCGACACTGTTCTTGACGCTTCGTTCTGCTGTTGCTTTTATACAAAAATTGCGCGTTGTGCTTTTTCTTCATGTTTTTCTTAATCGCTACGTTTGCCTCTTCGACACGTGAATGAACGAAGAAAGGAAGAAATGAGAATGAGAGAAATGATATTTTTTTATCTGCCCGCGCAACTTGTATCGTCGTGGCTTCCTTCTTTCTTCGTTTGTATCTAAAAATATATTTGTAACTGTGTTCGGACAACGCCAGACTGCTCAAGTATAACCTTTCATTGAAACTTGTTTTCTTTTCTTTTATTATATTTTGGCGCCGGAATGTCTGGAGTAGAAGTATCGCATCGAAAGAAAGTCGAAGTCGTGTGCCAGTGAACTTGAGAATACGAGACGTCGGCTACATTTATATTGCGCAACTTCTTTTTACGACACCTTCGTCTGATCGCGTAACAGTGTGCGCTGATATAGTAAAATCTTTTAGAATTCTTTCTATTCACTTTCATCTTGAGATGGTGTTTTGGAAAATAAATTTCAGATTACGAATTTTTATTATTATTGATGGAATTAATTAATTAATTATTGAAAGAAGTTTTTGATTTATTTTTGTATTCATCACACATAAGTTCATTGTTTTCTTTAATTAGCTTGAACCTTAAGTTGACCAAAAATTCATTTCGTTATAAGGAAAACGAATGTTTAAATTCAAACAAAAGGAACAATAAAAATTGTTAGCTTCTTATCAAGAGCACTTAATGCTCAAAAAATTCTATAAATATCACTTCAAGAATTGAACAATTCTTTATCAAAGTCAATTGCATCACCGAATGACTCAGTGGGAATGCATTAAAATATCAATTAAAAGATTAAACTTCAATCACATTTTGCCTTAATTTTTGATAAAATTAGAGACATTTGATAATTTGTTTAACAAAATTTATGTGAATGCTTTCGAGTCGACATTAAAGAAGAACAAAAGACTTCAATGCGAGAATGTACGGCGATGTTTACTTCAACTTTCAACGTCCTTAAATTTCGAAGATGCACTTTAAATGCCTTTTTTAATTAAAGTATTGCGATGATTTATTTAAACCTGCAAAATTAATTAATTTTTCATCTGTGGGAGATTCGTAGAAAAAAGATTTCAATCTTTAATATCGAAAGACTTTCATTGTAACTAACTTGACAGTGATTTATTCCTTGATATTACGTTAACAGAATTTTAATTAATTCCGTACATTCGGTCTCTACTGTCTTTGGTGTGTGCTTGAATTTGTATCAATTCATGGTTGAATATTGTCATTGCATAGCAATGAATTTTTATTTTATTGAATATTGACCAATTTGTTTGATTTTTACGATGGTCACTGTGAAGAATAAATTTATGTCCTTTAAGTTACTAAGTTTACTTTAATTAAATTATTTCAAGATCATCAAAATAAAATAATTTTCTGTTTGTTAATAATTCTTTTTTATAAAAGAGACATTTCAAACTTTCTTTACTTTTTCTTTAATCCTTGCGATAAATTTCTAAATAAGAAATTAAACAAATGTCCAAAAAATAAATTAATTTAATTTATTTACACTTCCACTAAGCACTTCACTTATTACTTCACTTGAAGAATAAAAATGAGAAACTATTTTGATTGTTCCGTTCTTTTATACTTACAAAAATCCAATCGCCGATAAACATTTCTCAGTTTTCTTTCGACTTTGTTTCATTCGCTCAAAAGCTTTCTTCAATTATGAACTTTTGAGTGATTTTTTCTTTTTATTTTGCTAATTTTTTTAATAAAAGTTCTTCAAGTCTTTTTTAATAAAAACTTTCAGAGATTATAAAGTTCTTTAAAATTTTTATAAAATTTAATTTAAATACCTAATTGTACATTGATAAGGTTGCATAACTTGATGTACTTTTACCTCAAATACTTGATTTCATGTTGAACAATTAATGAGTCTGAAGATTTGAAGAGAATATCGCCTTAAAGCAAACAATAATGGACATGAAGTCGTTGAACTCTGTCATTGGACAGCTGAGAAGTCAAATATTTAGAACAATTCTCAAAATAATTGATTTCCATTAAAATTTGTTAAATAAACAAAAAGCTTTGCTCCGTCTAGACTTTGAATTAAACATCTTCACATGTTTGAATTGCAAATCGATTTATTTGGTTTTATTTCTTTTTTAGAATTCTAATAAATAAGAAATCAACGAATGTCTACCATTTGATGTTAAGAGCTGTTGACATTTTCTCTACAGCATGATAAGAAGTATGTAAAAGCTGTTGAACCTTATCGCTGTCATTTCCACCAAGAAATTCATCGTAGATTATTTTAACATTTTCATTTTCTGGTTCAGCTTGTGGAAGATTTTGATACATTTTTATAAGTTCTTCTGTTAGTTCCCGAATTGGTTGATTACTTTCTGGTCTGATTTGTGCTCCACCATTCAAACAACCCGACGGACATGCCATAACTTCTACATAGTGATAACTTGACTTTCCACGCTTCAATTTTTGAACAAGATTTTGAATGTTTCTGAAGCCATTAGCGATCGCAAATCGAAGAACAACAGCGCCGTCTTTTTCAAGAATCACTTCACGAAAATCGGGATTTCTCAAATTTTTATAATTTAATTGAGTCACATTTTCATTAAAAAGTACTTTTGCTGCATATTTAAATATATAATCTGAATATCCACCAGAACCTGATGACTCATGTGACCACACAAAAGTTTCTGGTTGCGAACAAGTCCAAGGCCAATCGAAAGTTTTCTCCTCAAACTCACTCAAAATTTTCCCTTCACTTGCTAGCATTTGTTCGATCTCAATCGATGTAATAACACAATCGACATCACGACTCTCAATGACGTCATTGAAAAAGTCTTCCCGAGATGCTTCCAGCTTCTTATCATAGCACGGCATCACTGTTATGTGATAAATCTTTTCAGCACTTACGTTAAGCTTTTGAGCGAGAAATTGTTTGACAAGAACTCCCATTATTTGTTGTGGTGATCTTGTTGTTGAAATATAAGGAATTAATAAGTCGCCATGAGTTTTTTCAGCGTAACAGACCCAGCCAGGACAAGATGAGGCAAGCATTGGAAGTTTAAAACTCTTTTGATCTCGATACCGTCTAAGAAACTCTTCACGTGATTCCAAAAGCGCCAAGTCATCAGCTATTCTTGTATCTAACACATAATCACCACCTAAAAGTTTTAAGTATCCTGATAAGTGTTTTGTGGCTTGTTCCGGATTTAAATTGAATTTTTTTGCAAGCGACAACAAAGACTGTTGAGAGATTGTGAAAACGATGATTTTTATATTGTTTTCATCATTTTCCTCTTTAGCTTTACTATTTTCTTTTAACACCCGAAGCACTTCTTCTTGGCTTTGTTGAGTTATCAAAACACCTTCAGCCGATGTGATGCAACCACTGCATGCAAGACAATCAGCCAGAGTTATTTCAACTTTCTCCAGCTTTTGTGTTCCCATCTGATGAACAAGAATTTTGGTATATGAATCAAGATTAAGGATATATCATTATTACTCACATTATTAGACTCAAAATATGTTCCATCTTCTTGGATGGTTATCTTTGATCCAGTTTTTGACTTTTTGATTTCAACTGGTTTAATGCATTCTTGTGAAGGCGTAATGAAATCATCGAGATTGGTTAATTGAAGAGCTCCACTAAAACCTGACATCTCAATTAAAGTTGTTTCTCTTTTGTTCACCTAATAATAATTAATATTTTTTAAAAATAATATTATGAAAGTGCAGAATTCGTTTAATTGCTCAAATATTGTCAAATTTGCTGAAAAACGAATCAAAAATATTCATTAGAAACATGGATAAGTTTTTGAGCAAATTTAATTTTCAAAATAAATATCCGTTAAAAACTACTCGATCAGCGTAATCCATGAAATGTGTTTGATTAAAAATAATTTATGATCACGTTTTCCCCCAACATAAATTTATAAAGTTTTTCCAGAAGATTTGAAACCAATGGTTTTAACAAACATATTTGAATAATTGACTTTCATGTTTCTCATACATTTTATTTCAATATAACGACACCGGAAGGCGCAAGGGAATAAATTAAAAATTGATTCAAAATTCTCTTTCTACTCTCTAAAAGCTTTCAAATAACTTTTTCACAAGCAAATAAAAAAAAACTTCAAAAATTAATCGTTGAGGCATTCAAAACATTTGGACAAAACTCTTTTGCAATTGCAATAAAGGCTGCATTTGAATCAACTTTCAAAGGAATTTCTTTGGTCAAATGATGAAAATAGTGAACAAAATACGATGGTTTAAGTCTTTCAAGAGTTTTTCTGATAATTTTAATATCTATTGAAAACAAAACTGCATAATCCTTATTTTCGTATCCAATCTCGTAACAATTTTGTTGTGGCAGAACTGTGATGTCTGAACAGTTGAAGGATTTTTCAATGGTTTTTTCTGGAAATTCGCACATACTTCTAGCCACTTTCGTAACAAGAAATGGTCCGTTCTTTCCCCAGATATTTCCTTTATAATTGTTCATAAATTCGCTGAAAAGGTTAGCTTATTAATATTTAATTGAATTTTAAAAATGTTCATTATCATTTACGTCAGTAGATTCTCGGTAAACTTATGAGCTACATCTGATGACTCCAAATGGAATATTGCATTGTTTATAACATTGGGAATATCAGAATGTTTAGTTTCTGCACAAACAAAGTTCTTAACTCGAATAGATTCAAGTGACACTTGAGAAATGACATCAAGATCAAAGTAAGTGCCACTGTACCTGTAAAGACGAGAACTTTAATTTCTCTGTATTATTAAGAAATATAAAATTTAATATCTCACTTCCATAGCAATAAAAGTCTCAGGAAATTTGAAACATTGTTGTGGAGAAAGCTTGTATCGAAAAGCTTTCCACTTGTCACCCAATTTTCCGCTATTGTATGCTTTGAAAAGTCACTTAAATCAAGTCGATAGAACATAATATTTTTATATTTCACTAACGCCAAAATAGGTTCTGATAATTTCAATTTCATTCTTGACACAAAAATCACACAAATATTATAATCGGAATTCATAAGAGCTGCAGATTCGATAGAACAAGCTTGTCTTGTCGTCAAGTCTCCTGTATCGCTTGCATTTGATTTAATGCCTGAACTTTCAATGAAAAAAATATTTTTGAAAGTTGAAGTTTCCAACTCATCAATGCTTCTCAACGTGTTAGGAGGATTTATGTCTGCCTGTTGTCGATCAATCTGATGTCGAAAGAACTTTAAGGATATAATTGTAACATTCATGCAAACTATTAAAAAAGTTATCTTTCCAAATCTTTTTCTTGAAGTATTTGACATCTCCAAGTTTCTAAACGTTCCAACTATTTTGTTCTTAGGTAGTAGGAAGTTTAGTTATGGTACTTAGAAAGTTGTAAAACTTGTATGTAGAACAAATATCGAGTAAACAACGAGAAAATACTTTTTTATTTTTTATTTAACAGTGAACAGTTTTGAACTAAAAGTAAGAAATGAATATCTGTTCTCGTGTTCCTTACTCGTTATTTGTTTTGAGACTAAAGAGCTAGACATTTCATTTGATCCATTTTTCTGTTTGACAAATAAGTTCGAACCGTAAGTACGAAATAATGATCGTGTATTCAATAAACATCTGTTCAAACAAGATTCATTTATTTCTCTGTTATCAACTGTGTTTAGAGTTTATAACTTTAGTCTAAAAGTTAGCTGTTATGAGTGTTCAAAAAGAAGTTGAGTCCTGTTAACCATTTTGTTGCTTTAAAAGAATATTTTTCCGATTCAACAATGACTATCTAATTGAATTTTGTAAATCTTTGTAAATCTGACGACACGCAGATGAATAGAAACAGAATGTATAACAGATGTATCAATCATCAATAAAAAGTTTTTAATAAGATGATTCACAAGTCACATTAAGTTACGTAAATAATTGTTTTACTTCTAACATAAAAATATATAATTTGGTTTAAGAGAACGAAATTTCACGAACCATTAAGTGAAGAACTTTCAATCGAAAGCTAAAAATTGTTGCTTCTGTTAGTAGAGAAGAAATATTGTCTCTGATGCATACCATCCTCTTATACATATCCAATTATATACCATGTCTTATCATCCTAAATGCGATGTATTTTTTTTGCAAACAACCTCCTAAATATTTTTATTAATCTGGTGATGATAGCAAAGATTGTAAGATGACGATTTCATCAGAAACATAATCGACATAATTTTTTCAGCTTTAATTTTTAATTCTTCAAATTTATTTGACATTTTCGATCCTCCTAATATTAAATTTTTATTAAAAAAATTGACATCAACTCTTTTCATGCTAACTGAAATTATGAGAAGGGATCAGATTAGCATAAAATATATAACTTTATTCACCATTTGCAAGATGCACAGTGAAAAAAAATAATTTCGGTATACACGATACTTTGATGGATTGTCTCTCAGATATTTTTGCCGTTTTTCTTTATATCGAGATACCATCTTCTGAAATATGTTTTAAATCAAACCAGGAGGATCAAATGAATATGTTGGAGTAAATTTAAGTCACATTTTATACCATTTTAATGAGTGGTGGATTTACTTTCTCGTAAAATCGTCAGCAGATACATGATATATAAAAATTAAAAATAAGCA